GGACTTCCGCGGTACGGCGGTGGTGAAAACGGAGCGTCTCACGTCAAGCACGTTGAAATGACCACCCAACGATGGCCGACACAGATGGCCGATGGCTGTCATTCTTCCGGGTCAAGGGTCACACCCAAGCTCTCGGGTGTTGTCTCATCAATGCAGACCTGCGCGCTGCGACAGTTCACGGGGAGAGCATGTGTAATAGAAATATTTCAATGTGCATGTATCAATGCCTGCATTGTTCTTCTTTGGAATTGATGCACCAAAAACTTCACAAGAGGTGCCGGAGAGGGTGAAGCTGAGGAATACTCCTAGGCTCACCACAAATCCGTCTGAATTCCAATATGTGTGGGTGATTTGTTCTATAGTAACAGTCGATGGTACAGGTCAAGAGTAAGAGAATGTAAAGCAAGCAACTGTGGTTTCTACAGTATATGTTTCTATAGTTCGACCCATGAGCTGTAGTTCTTGGATACACTCAGGGTCCACCCCATGTCGTCTTCTCACAGTGGCATGGCACACTTGATCCTTGTGCCGCGCCTGCGGACCATCTGCATGCACTCGGTAGCGATAGCCCTCCATGGTGTAGGTCTTCCCAGATCCTCCGCGAAGAATTTCTTGTACTCTTCAATCAAGGTGGTTTTCGGATGCTTTGGGTCTTTGGAAACGTCTCATTATCATTATTTCTGCAGAGGAGTTCAGGGATGGGATAAACTCATGAAATCGGCCGTTTGCAAAGATCTTGTTCAAAGCAGCAGAAGCAACCTAGCTCAAACGCCTCTTTTCTCATTTTGATCAAAGATCCAAAGAACCAAAGCTCCACCCATGCTTCCAAACACACCCGCTTCTGTTTTTCTGGTTTTCCTGTTTGCCCATATGCGAAGACCGTGGCGTGGTAGCCCTCGGCCACTTTGGCGATGAGCTCATCGATATTAAGGCCCTGGTAGACCTCCTCTTGACTGGTGCTCGGACCGAAGACAGAGCCTTAGTGAGTCTTCTCGTTCGACCAATCCATGATGATGTCTTGACAAAGCCAAGGTGTCCAACATCCTTTCTGCAAGGGCAAGGATCATCATCCATACTTGCAAGTATGCAAGTAATTATGGTGCCAGGATCCATACTTTTCAAGGGTCAAACTTTTTTTTAAAGATCATACTTGCAGGTGCACCGGACATGTCGATGTAAGAAGCATTTGCAGGTGCTGTTACTGAGTTTTCTGCGCTTTTTGCCGAAAGGCCATCCGTGAAGACGTCGCTCGTCGCAGGGAAAGGCCATGCTAGTGGGCCACTAGCAGCATGGGCCTTGTAGCTTCTGGTCTTTGATGGGTGATCTGGCAACCATCTTTTTCGATGATGATTTCTGATGTTGAGACACTGGTGCGCACATTCACACATGCTTCATCGCAAGCTGCGGTAGCGGGTGGAAACACCTCCAAAACCCAACACTCAGTTCACATCTAACTTTCAGCTGAATCGGCGCATGGTAGGTGGACCATAGTCGGCCATCGTCTGGAGCCATTTTTTTCGCAGAGCCAAGCGATGCAAATGGACCAGGCACGAGCCCAGATGGATTGTAGCTGTGGGAATGGTCCACCTAGTTATGGGTTATGTCACCGGGATCCTTTGGTTTACCCACCGACGGAGGGACGGCACCGGACGAGGCGCGGCCAGCGGAGCAGTGGCGCTTGGCGGGTTGCCAGCGGACGAGGGGGAGCGTTTGACGAATGGGTGTGATTGATGGGGTGAGGGTATAGTACCAGGCGGAGTAATTACGCACGAGTACACTGAGAGAGAGCTTAAACAAGGCTTACATTCATCGTGCCAAAACAACACGGGACGTGCAGTGAGGCAATTGGTTGAAAAGAGTCTAAAAGACCGTGCTTCACTGGGAATGGAGGATGGAGATGTCACCCGCATGCGTTCGACATGGACATTGACATCAAAACTGAAATCCAACTTGCGGTGGGTGGTCCGGCAACTCTGACCGAAAGGCAAACAAATGCTCTCGTGTTTTATCTATATACCTGCTTTCTGCAACCCTCACTTGCCAAGCGGCTAAAGCGAAAGTCTTGCGGTTTCCGCACCCGTCGGCAGTCTCGGTCTGCGATGTTCTCCTCATAGAGGACATGCGGCGGGAAAAGGAGGAGGGTGACTGTATTGAGCTGGTTGATGTTCCCCATGAGTGTGGAGAGATGCAAAAAAAAGTAAAAACATATATTGTAATTTATAACTATAGAAATTATGAACGTTTACCTGTTGAATAGCAAAGGAGGCCAAGAGAATCTTGATGGCTCAACCATCTGGCTCACCTAAGTCCTAAGGGATTCCGCCAGACTGGCACATCCTGGTTCAGAAAAAAGAAAACGCCTGGTTCTTTTTGCGAACGCCTCGCGGGAATTCTGTTGATGACCTGTTGCTGCTGATTGCTTTGACTCTAACGTAAAGGCTTCCAATTGCAACAAATACCCAGCTGACCCACAGGTCAGCTATGAAGTGTCTCATGTCAAGAAGGAGGAGGAAGAGGAGGACGAGAGGCCGCCCCATTTCATCTAGAAGAAAAGATTGCATGCCGCCACCACGCTGGAGAACACCTCAAAGGGACACCTCAGGCTGAAACAACTCTCACCATGCCTCCAGCCACTCCTCCACCCATGCCTCCCACCCCTACTCTCCTCGCAGTTCTCTTCTGCACTCAAGCGCACGGTGCCTCCCTCCCCGCGCAGGAGCGGAACTTCGACCTCCTCCGAGTCCAAAGAGGGGCGAATGCGCACCACCACCTGCTATGTCTGAGCGACGGAACGTGGAACGTGGGTGGAACGGAACGTGGCACGTCAGGAAGAAAAACAATGGCGATGATGGCACCAGGTGCTCTTTTTCTGCTAGAAAGGCCCGTTTTAGGGAGGAAGTGGAGAAGAGACTTGAAAATCAATGTTTCACCTCTCCCAGTTGACATGTGATTCGCGTTGGAGCACCCGGCAAGACCCTCGGATGGCACGAGTCCGCGCCAGGGAGGGCAGGGGGCACTACCAATGCATACCAAATGCAGCAATTTCAGCCATGTTCTACACCACAGCATTCACATTCATTCGCATTCAGCCGTGTCCGCCCTGCTGAACCAGCGGACATGGCTGAATCCATGGTTGCTTGCACGGACAAAACCATCAAGAACGCCAAGCTGAAAAAGCACCCGTGTCTGCCCTTTGTTGGTGAAATGGGTGCGAGTCTGGTAGATCACTGGCTCTGACAGGGCGAAAAGAGCTTCATCTCCACGACATGATCCACATGGGTTTACAATCAGTATAGTGACTGACGGTTCTTTTGATCTTAAAACCCTTGGAGCTTTCACTGATCAAGAGTCATCAGTGTTCCTGATACATCGGTGTTGGCTCGAATGGGACGAGGACCAGGCTCCGTGGCTCAGCCGTGGGAACTGCTCACCCGATCACCCGTTCCCCCACAGGTTTTTCACGCCTGTACAGGAGGAAGACTTGGCTCCTGAGCCTGGCACTTTTGCATACGAACATGTCTCATTCTGGAAGATAGGCTGTGTGACGGGTGCTGGGTCTTTCTTTCTTGGGGCCGTGAAGTAGGTGGTTTTTTTACAGACCACATGACTGTGGCTTGGCGCGTCTGTGGCCACCGAGTGAGTTTACTCGACGCCGTTGGTTGGCGCTTCGCTTCAAAAGGGAAGACGGTCGACGGGCGGACGGATGATGTCGGATGATTGGTCCATGTGGTTTGGTCAATCCAAGGGATTATTTTCGGCGGGTTTGAGATGGTTTGTTTGAGAATTCTAAGAGTCTACATTACTTGAGCAGGAACGCCGACAAAAAGACCTCTTGTCATCATGAACACAGGACCTTTATGGCTCTTTCGAGCTGCAACTGTCCATGGAACAGCGAAAAACAGTGGCTCCAGCGAATTGGGCATCCCTAATTGCAGTGAAACCAGAACCGAACCAACTTGGCCAGTTGACTTGGCGCGACAAGTTTCAAGTCCAGTGGCACCAGCCCATCAAGAGGCAACCAACTGGGCCTGTTTGTGTGAAATATACCAGTTGTTGGTGGCTTCTTTCGAACCGAGGTTCACACCTGACAAATCTTCTCAACTTGCCATTGCTGTCGTTTAAACACACCTTGCAATCACCAGCTTCACTCGCAGAAATATCCTCCGCACCCGTTTCACTGCGAGTCCAGGCCCGATTGTTCAGACGTCCCTTCCACACGCCCAAAACGGTCGACCGGCACGGCGCGGGGCCTCGGAGGTGGGCATGTCCCGCGCGACCTCACGCAGTCGCCGGTGCCAGTGTCCGGATTTGAGGACGGGCGAGGTTGGATTGACCAGCGATAGCTCTGCCCGTTGCGGAATCTGTGGTCAATTTGGAGCATCGTTTGACCAGTTCTCCTGCTCAGGGTGCTCAAGATTGGACTATGCCAGTGATTCTGCCTTCCACTGCTACGTCCCTATGCAAACGACGGACGAAACTCGAAGCCAGGCCTATGCTGCATAGGTGGCTGCCAAGCTTTGAATGGCACTAGGTGCTATGCGGTGGGTGCGCCCCGGGTGCCAAAGATTGAGCTTTTCTGTGTATAGATACATTTGGCAAAAAAAGCTCTGCTCCTGAGAAAAAAACAGCGAACCAACCCAGCTCCGCTACCGGGTTCGTTACCATCTGAGCGGCTGCTTGAACCGAACGAAAGCCATCTGGTCATCCGACCTTGCTTCATGGTGTCCCGATGGAGTCATGGACTTGGTGAAGGGTCCAATGAGCGTTTCTGAATCCCCAGCTAGGTGAGTCATCAGGCTGCTTTGAGCCCAAACAGCTTCCGGCCAGCGCAGTCGCATTTTGTCCACCTGCCTCACAAAAACTGGAAGAATAACTGGGAGAATAACAGGAGGATACAGGAGGTCCATGGTTTGACGATCCAAGAGTGAGTTGGCCTGGGATTGGTGATGTCCGCTCTGATTCAAACTTCAAACCTCGTTGGTTTGCGCTTCCGCACCCGCCTTTTGTAGCAAAGGTGCATGATGCACGTGTAGATCATTGCAAGCTTGTGCCTCATGTGGAGGTCCAAAACGTCAAGATCGTCAAGCTTAGTCAAGTCAAGCTTGGGCCCTTCCAATGAAAGTCGGTCCATCTTTTCTACAAAATTCAAGAAAAGAACAACAAGAAAGCCAAAGGGCTGAACTGGTAAGGCGCTCAACCCCTGCAACTGTCAACCACAACTAGCTTCATGGATGATCATCATCCCCAGGGCGCGTAATTGAGCAGAAAACAATCCACCAAAACGTGCCAATGTCCACCAGCCATGTGGATTTCTGGTTCTTGACCATCTTTGACCCATGACCCATGCCCCCAAATGAACCGCTATGGGGTCTCCCCACACGAACTAGCGGAACTGCACTACCCACGGTGCTGAGGCTGCTGAGGCTTCGACGAGTGGCAGCAAAAGAGGCGCATGTGGCTCCAGGAAGGGTGCTTTCATCTTGGTGGGGGCGCAGAAACGGGTGCATCGTCTCTTGTTCGTTCTGCATGGGCTGCAAAGGGGTGTGTGTTTGAACAGAATGTTCGAGTTGAGTAGTCTGAACTTTCGTTTCTTCACTCTCCAACACACATCCACATCATTGAGCGCTCCCGCAGCTCATCACAACTGCCTTCTAACACAGCGCTTGTATGGATTTATGACCGCGATGACCGCGCAGCCGTTTTTACGGACATGCAGAATCCTCCCGTTGACGCTCCCGTTGAGCCCCTATGAAGTCATGTCATAAGTGGCCGCCGCTGGGGTTGGGGTCTCAATGCGCGAGCTGAGGGACCAATTGTTGTGTCGATCTTCGAAATGCATTGGCTTTCTGGTAGCTCGAGACTAAGCAGGCCACAATAAAGCCCAACCTCCAGTGGAAGGGAGGTCAGTCCACCAAAAGGGTCCATGCTTGTCCGGGGGTTGGTGCTTCAAGCTGCCTTCGAGAAGCAACCCGAAGAGGGCGGTCTGATGTTCTCCAGTGGTGACCCACGTGCTCAGAGCTCATCTCTGGTGTGGTGTGAGTGTATCATATCATGGCCTCTCACTGAATGGTTCACCCAGGCATGCATCAAATGCCGCACACAGCAACACAATCCTAAAAGCTATATGTGAAACAGCTTCGTGCCGCTCGCACCACGAGGGCTATGCTCCCCTTTCTCAGCAACTATTCCTTCTTGGAGCTGCAGGATGCTACATACCGATGTATTCAAACGAAACAGGCAGAGAAGACATCTGTTTTGAAGGTTATGAGTTATGACCTCCTTTTTACAAATCCTGGGGCCCACCGGAACCTGAAAAACTGGCCGATCCTGCAGCGACCGGAGCGCCAAGCCTTCCTGGGATCTTCCTCCAAAAATTGTCTCAGACTCTCAGGACATACTTGGATGACCATCCCTGGTGTTCTGCTTGGTTAACCTGGTCCTAATCGTATCACTCGCACCACGGTACGAAACGAGCTGTGAAACACGTCGGCAGAAAAGCTTACGTTAAATCATGCACAAGCCAACGACATGGACAGTTCAGCAGTGTTTCTTGAGGCGGATGTGAACTATACATCTCAATTTTTGTTGGCATCATGCTTTTCAACCCACCGTTTGAACCCGTGGCTTGGCACTTGGTCAGTCGTCCAAGGTACACTTCAGCCACCGTGTGCTCGTCATACCATCCAAGGCGGCCAACACAAGAGAACGCAGAGATCACCTCCACAGCGGCCCGGCCGGCCGTCGCCGCCAAGTCGGTCGTCCGCTGGGTGCCGAGTCCGTGAAATTTGGGCTCTCCATTGATGCCGATGTGTCGTAGCCGTAGCCGCCAAGGAAAAAGACAATAGTATCAATAATGTTTTATATATAGAGTTATATATTATTTTATATATGTATGTATTTGTTTGATATATAAAATCTTCTAAATGTGTTAGAGATCGGAACTACCTTTACAAGGATCCCCCCAATCAGAAGACATAATGTCCCTTCCTGCTCCTAAGTTGGTCAAAAGAAATCTTAACCGGGTTGATCTTCGATCTTTACCTGCTCCGTTTGATCGGCAAACTCCAAACAGCAGCACCATGCATCCCTCCACCCTGGCCTTCCGCAAATCCCACTTTCCAGAGGAGACCACCTCGGTCGCGTCAAACGCGGCCGAGAACATGGCCGCTCGGCGGCGTGCGAAGGCGACCAGTCGTTGGTTCGGTCGGTCCAAAACCCAGTTGGGCCACACGTACATGCAAATCCCACGACGGCGACCGACGGCGACCGGTTGATACCCAGGATCTTTGATTCTGGCGCCCTACCCGTCATGCAATTGCACCCTGATCTCAAAACATCTCGAAACCATGTTATACTAGGATTTACTAGGATATATATATATATATACATAATATAGATTCCTGTGCCTCTAGGTGACATGTTAATTTTGGATGCCTTCTGAACGTTTTGGTTTTGAAAAGGTGATGTCAACCCTCAGGATGGCGCAAGCAAGGGGGATCATACAAAAAGCTCCGCTGGGCTCGGATCGTCGTGGTTTGAGTGTTGGTTCGAGCGCCACACATGGCAGAAAGAAAGCTAAAGCGTAGCATGCGGCACTGGCAATTGCTTCCTTTCGGTCTCCAAGATCCATCCTTTCAGGGTTTCAATCTCACCAGGGTTCCTCGGTTCATCTTTCATACAGCAAAACCATTTCTGGATTTGGACCTTCGTCTTCCAAAAAAAGCCCTGCTTGAAACCATTTCCACCTCGTTAGATGCAGTTCGACTCCCAGTCGAAGGTGAGTCGTCGCGGCCCGTTCACCGACCGTCCCCCGACGGTGGCCTCTGCGATCGCAGCATTGAACGCCGCAGGTGCTTGCTCCAGTGGGCTATTCACCTGGCCAGTCCGCGAAGGTCAGGCGCGATCTGTTTTTGCCAGGTCTTTCAACCTGGGTTGCGAACTCACCCTGCTCGATTTGACCTCCATAGTCATAGTAGTCTATGGATCCTCTGTAAAATTCACACGACAACCCCGGGGGGGCATTTTGTATCTACAAATGCCTCACCCCAGGTCCAAACCAAGCAATCCATCTATAAAATGAAGCCCCCCAAGATAGAAACCTTAAGTCAAAAATATTTGGGTTGGGGGTTGGCCTGAGTGGGCTCACAGAAATTGATCAGAAAAGTGCGCTCTCTCTCTCTCTCTCTATAAAATCACCCCCTCCAAGGCTCCAAGGAAGATGCTTCAACAACCATCTCTACAAAACGGGTTCTATATAACCCTTTTCAAAACTATGGTGGGTGGGTGCACATCAATGCTCGAGTCAACGGAAAGATATAAAAACAACTGTCGTTTCTATATACCTGCCTTGCAAATCCTGTTTTTGCTAACATGCTCAAAAATTGCCCTGCTCACTCTACAAAATAGGAACACCCAGGACAGTGATTCTATAGAAAACCATAGGAAACCTATATTTTCTCTACAATATGGTCGTTTCCAATACAGGGGTTGGCCCAATTTGTAGAGGACATTTCACAGGGGATGTCTATGGCAGTCGACATTCTGTTCCTTGCTATTCCGTCGTGATCCACCAGGGTCACCGTCATGACTGACCCATCCCATCCCCACCTTTAGCTGGACCAAGCTGCACCCGCCAATGGTTCAACCACCCAGACCGACCCCGGACGGACCCGTCTCCCAAACCGGGCCCCCGGCCGACGAGCTCTCAGGACTCTCCTGCGAGCGGTGACCACTCGGGGCGCTCGGCATGCGGAGTGAACGTGGTGACTGGGTGCATAATAAAGGCGTCGACAACTGAAACGGAGCCTCCAAGATCAGTGGTTCTGAGAGGTTCTGAGAGGTTCTGGTTCTGGGATCTTCTAGGGGCCTCGAAAAGCTGTTTTCCTCCAGGGCCTCTGAGTCAGATGTGTGTTCGACATGAAAAAAACTCCAGCAGCTGTGGGTCAAGACATGTCAAGACCCGATTCCGCCCATTCTCTTCTTTCTCGCTCTCCCGATTCCGCCCTACTCATGTCTGGCAGTCCATTCTCTTCTTTCTCGCTGCTCTCACCCCAATGACCCCGGCCCAACGGCCCGGCGCTTCCGCCTTTGGCGGTGCTTTGGCCAAGGCGTCGAGAACTCGAAGTAACGTGCCGTCGGAGAGGCCTCGACGGGGACGGCTTCCGGGTCGTCGGGTCCAACTCCGACCCGACCGGAGACAGAGCGACCTGGTGTTGGGGATGGTCAGACCGCTACCTGCGGGTCGACCAGGGCTCCAGGTTTGGACACATCTACTAAATCAGTGACCGGCATCATGTTGCATGGTGGCTGAGATAGATGTGTTCTTTCGTACGGCCAGAAAGCAGGAGTCTGTCAATATCAGTCAGAATATAGCCTCTTGATTACAGTAATGCAACCCCCATTTGAATCGGAAAATCCTCTTCATATCTCTTCATGGTGCTTAAAAAAACAAGAGTCTACATGATTTTGGCAGGGCTGTACCTTTTCAGCGGTCACACGTACCCACCCACAAACCGACCATCCCTCGCCTTGCAGATGCGGCAGGAGCTGTTGAAGTAGACGAGGAGTGATGCGCTCGAAGAACGGCTAGCGCGACGGCTCAGCGGACCGGGGCGTTCGAGAGACGAGCGCATGGGGTGGAAGACCTGGCCGAGAGTCTTCCAGGGGCGAAAAACCTCGTGGCGCAAAAAGGGCATCGGGTATGTTGAGACATGTTGAGACCATCCGTTGGAAGAAACATGGAAGAGACAAAGGTTTTCTTGTTTTTTGAGACATGTTTCTTCCATCTGTTTTTTTTTTGTGTTTCTATGCACATGCCTTTCTCCGCTTCTGATCTCGTTTTGTCTGCTTCTTCTTTCCCAGAGGCTTTGGATCAGGCTGTTCTTAACGCCCACAACAGGACCATCTTTCGCCCAAAACACGCCTCGATCCGATACACGAAAAACCCGTCCGGTGCACGCGAACGGTTGGCCTCATCCAAGTGCCTCAGGGAACACAGCATGGTGGCCCATTGCTCTGGCCTCGGACAGCGCGCTGACGGCAAGCGCAACAGTGGTCGACGTGTGCTTCTTTAGAAGGGAAGACGAAGGAAGACCACAGGCCTGACCAACTAACAAACCCTCCTGAAACCAAGAACTATCAAGTTATTCATCTTTCTTGTCTTTGTGGGTCTACATGTCTACACGACTCAACTTGGTGAAAAATAAGGATGAAAATGGATGACAAAGGCACATTAATGTGGCTCCATTCGGGAAGGTCCAAGCAGTCGAAGCCCGGTGCCAAGTGTTATTGATTCCTTGATTGCTCACACACAAATTCCGCAAAGAAAGGACATTCAAACATATATTAAAGCAACAAAGACACACACACACAGATTCGGACATTAAAAAGAAACAAACAAACAAACTCCGCCATCCGCCCAATCCACTCCTCCTCACTCCCCTCCCCACCCAACCACCACGTGCCCGCACGTGGCCACCACTTCGCCCAGCTCGCTGCGGTCCAGGAAGGCGGCCGTGAGGCGGAGCGGGAGGTCCTTCCGACTCCCCGACCCAATGCGGTACGCTCCGGCGGATGAAAAGAGCGGAAGGTCATCATGGATGGTGGATGGTAGTAGTGTGAGGGGATGCCCTGAGCACACTGGGAGAAAAAATGGTGTGAAGAAACATGTTGACCCCCCGATATACTGATATGCCACTGAGATACTATTCGGACACAAAGCAGATTCATGAGAAGACGCCTCTTTTGCCGTCATTTGACTTAGTCAGATGAATGGCAAAAGCTTGGCTTTCCCAACAAAGGGTTGGATACGAGAACCTTGCTGTGTGGGAAACGCAGGCATCGTTACTTGCAGGGATCCGAGTCCGCAGAAAGAGAAGGGTCGTAGTTGAGTTGAGGCTAACCTGGTTTTTCTGATAAATCTAAGGGGTTCTTCCCTTTTCACCTAACCATCTACCATCATCATGTTCTTGAGCATGTTGAGCCATCAAACCCTACCCACTTGGTTCAGCCTGCCGAAAATACGCTCGCTCACGCGGCACTCCGCGGGTGGTCGTTGTGTCCTTGGGCACTGGAAAACTACTCAAGGCCGACAACAACCCTGCAAAGTAGGCGGTCGGCAACGGCGTCAACGCCTGCCGCACCAAAAGAAATGAACATCGAGGCCACCCATGTCTGATGTCGTCGTTGGTCTTCTTGCTTTTGAATGTCCCGTATGCTTCCATCAGAATGTGCATTCCCCCATGTTTGTTCAGGTATTCCTTCAGTCTTTGGTCTTGGTATTTGAGATGCTGAGGGGCTAGAATGCCTTTGACTTTGATATCACTGATGGAATATGAATTCACACGATTCTTGAAAGCAAATTCGTCATCAAATATGTCTGCCTTGAACCTCGTTTTTGAATGCTTGCGAGTGCTTTGTTCTGGTCCAGTCTTTTCGGCGTTTGTCAAGGCATATCGCAGGAAATCGGCGCCTCAGGATTGGAGAGCAGCTTTCGTAGAACTGCTTCCACCTCATGCCTGAGATGCATGTAGAATTGTCCATATATATATATAAGAATGCTGCCCTCGGTCATGGGGTGTCTACAGACGCCCTGAAACGATGCTTTTTGGGGGCCATTCCGGCCAGTGGAACATGTCTTGGAGATCTTGGGCTACAGTACCATGCTGATGCTTTCGGAAGAAGATGTTGGGCTCAAATTACACCCTACAGGCGGCTAACGCTGCCAATGGGAAAGCGGAAATGCGGCTGGCGCTCTGGGCTCGGGCACTGAGAGGTTGAAATGATCACATCATATCAAAATAGCCTGAGAGTAAGCTTTATCGCTTTATCCACCTGGTGCACATATTGATCTTACATGTTGATTATCTGCATATCCAGCTCTGAAGAAGAGGTCCCAGAATGAAAGCTGCACTTTTTGACGAAGCGAGCTCACCGTGACCTTCATGTCCCACCCGTCCCACCTGTCCCTCACCTTCCCAGTGGTGAAATCCGACCAGATTCCACCACCGACTCATCGCTCGGTCCATCGCTCGGACCGACTGAGCTTCCACACTTGTACCTGGAGGCTCCGTCCGGGCCATGGGGCCGTCGGGGCTGCGGGCTGGGAGAGTGCAACAGGGTGCGGTCGAGTCTTTTGGAACTCACTACTTGCTTGCAAGCATCTGTGACCATCCAAAAAAAGAAGCAGATGTATGATGTAGGGATGCTTTCTTCAGGGACTCATCTCCAAAAGGTGTGAACAAAATCGCACTTGGAGTCTTGGGACAAGGAAAGGACCTATCCTTCCACAAGAACGTGGGCATGCAAATCAAAGCAGATTGGGGAGTTTCATTCAATCTCCTCGAACTGGTGGAGTTTACGCTGATGTTTGATGGTCCAGTTTGCTTCTCGAAGTCTCATGAGAGTCTGGTCAGTGTCTGAACTCCATGAAGAAAGAAAGAAAGAAAAAAGAAAGCATCGAGAAAGAAAAAGGAAAGCTACTAATAGCAAGGACGCTATTGCATGTCCATTGAAATCGTCACTGAAGTCATCGAGTGTGTCCCTTTTTCAGTGGTCTTTGGTAACCCCCGGTGCGTCATCTTGGGCAGATCGGTTGGTTTTATGATGTGTTATGTCCAGTTCTCCATCAGTTTCGGCCACTTCTCCGTGAGTAAACGTGTCGGTTTTGCAACACCGCTCCGAACTCCAATCAGTGGCTCAAAACCAAAAGCAGTTGTTCATCATTCTTCATCTGCTGAACCAAAAAGCACCTTAAATCCAAAGCCACCGCAAACGGCGGGTTTGGGTGGTAACGGCGACCCGACCTCCTGTTTTTGGGACCTCCTCTTGGGCCATGGAGTCATGAAATCCAGACCTGGCAAGGCCAGGTGAAAATCCTACGCGCTTCTAGGGATCCAAGTACCTTGGATACACTGTTATGTAGCTTTGCAGTTTGGCTCCAGTCGTACCGAACGGCCTGGACGGATCCCTATAGGGACACTACTCTAAGTCGTCCTCCCGCCGCCTTACCGTCCCGTCGCTGCCGGTTCTTCCCACCGAGGTGCCACAGATCCATGACGCGGCACATCCGCAGGAGCAGAAAGTGGGAGAGTTCCACCTCATCCTTCCTGAGAGGACCATGGACTGGACAGCATGGACTGCTGGGCAATCCTCGGGACAAGGAGGGGGCAATCTCAAAGTTGGTGTTGCTTCTGGAGTGATTGGTAGACAAGAGTTAAGTCCGCTATAGTTCATAATATGCATTTATATATATGTATAAATATATATACACAGCACGTGAGACAATATGATAATTAAAGGGTCCGATGAAAACAAACGGTCCACGTTCCTGATCATGACCAGTGGAGAGGAGAACCCATGACCCAAGATGATCAGGTGCCTTTCCATTGCCGGTCAATTCCCCGGTCTGACGCCGTAGTATCCAGGCTGCTCCATTTCGCTGATAGCGCTGTATTACGTCAAACAGCAATTGCTTCTTAAATGGAGGTCAATAAAATTCTAGGTATGAGGCAGGCAGTTCCACGCCCTAATTGCAACTAGTCCGTTCAGAGTGACTAGTTTGCTTATTGACTTGGACCCTCTACGCGCATGCCGAAGTGAACAATATTCATCAGGTGTCCTAAGTAGCGAGGGTAGCGGGCAGTCATTGTCAAGAATAGAGAGCAAAAAGGAAGCAGGGAGTACAACAAACGATGGTCACTTCAACCCAAACATACATTAGGTGTCCTCAAATCTTGCGGCTAAAAAAGAAGAAACATCCTCATCACGAATTTCCTATGACTCACTTTGTTTGGGGTGAGGTGATAGGTCTTGAACTTTTTGTGTGTGTGTGTCAAACCCTGTTTCTAAGGGCATTTTCCCCTCTTCCTAGAGTTCTTGTTCAAGCAGGGGCACTGAACACTCCTTGGCAAACTCAGTGCAACGAAGCTATGCCTTGGAGTGGGAAGCACGGATTGATCACCCGTGTGTACCTGCGACAATTTGGAACTGTTGAACGCGCTGTCCAATTTACTCTTTTGTTTCCATGGTTCTTCATGCTACCTACCCCCAAACAGGTTTTCCCGCCGTTTTGCAGCCGCTTCCACATGCGCTTACTGTGAAGCTTTGGTTCAACAATACTTTTCTGCGGACTCATGCGCCTTTCCGTTCCTTCGCCTTCCTTCTCGACTTGGGAATTGAGTTAACAGAAAGCCAATGTCAGAGTGTGAACTGCTCAGCCGTCCCACTTGGGTGCTGAGTGTGATCCTCCGCAAGGGGGCGCCGTTTTCATTCCGGAATTCGTGTAACTGATTCTTCGTTTCCACCTTTCCTTGCATTTTCTTAACAGCCTCAGTGTCACCACTGAATTGCCTGAATCATAAGCCGCCGGGCTTTCACGAAAAGACTTATTCACTGAATTAGCCGCCGGGCTTTCACGGAGAATAAACCCCGACGTGTCTCTACCCCAAACACCCCAACCCCCCCCAACCACTAATTAGGGTAACAGAGGGAAATGGTACTCGACACACTTGTGTGTCGGTGCCTTTCCCTCTGTTGTCCCTTTCCTAGTCTACCCTACCCGGGCAGTTTAAGACTAAAGTCCCGCTCCCTAACTATTGCACTTAATTCATTTCTGCTAAGTAGTCAATAACTCTAGAGTGCTAAGCATTCAGACACACACACACATGTACACACACATGGACATACACCCCCTCCCTGCCCCCCGCTTTCCTTCTTGCGCTTTTCGTCGTTTGTTGAGCTTTCCTTCAGGCTTTTTAGGTGTCTCTTGAGGCTCGTTTCCCTACCCCAGTCAAGGGCTAAGTATTCACCTTTTGCGTCACATGTGCGCCGAAGACGGCCACGTGTGTGTGTGTGTGTCAAAACCTGTTTCTAAGGGCTTTTTCCCCTCTTCCTAGAGTTCTTGTTCAAGCAGGGGCACTGAGCACTCCTTGGCAAACTCAGTGCAACGAAGCTATGCCTTGGAGTGGGAAGCACGGATTGATCACCCGTGTGTACCTGCGACAATTTGGAACTGTTGAACGCGCTGTCCAATTTGCTCTTTTTGTTTCCATGGTTCTTCATGCTACCTACCCCCAAACAGGTTTTCCCGCCGTTTTGCAGCCGCTTCCACTTGCGCTTACTGTGAAACTTTGGTTAAACAATACTTTTCTGCGGACTCATGCGCCTTTCCGTTCCTTCGCCTTCCTTCTCGACTTGGGAATTGAGTTAATAGAAAACCAATGTCAGAGTGTGTGTTTCGCGGGGGCTGTCGCACGCCAAGTTGTGCGCCTGCGCGCTGCGGGGCGCCCGCGCTGTGATGCGCTCTCACGAGGCTCAGACTTTCTTCGAAGACGAATGTTGAGGTCCTCCTCGGCATTGGAAAAGGGAGGACACTGAGGACGCAAGTAAACCAATGGCATTTCGAAGTGCCAGAGATTGATCCAACAGAGAAGCGACCAAGACAAGAAACACAAGAAACCAGTACACTCCCCGGAACAATCATGGAAGTGGAGTCACGTCCTGTTTGCTAGAGGATTTCCTGGCATTTTGGCACCATTCAGAATCACCTAGAAGTCTAGAAGTGCCTTTCTAGTCTAAGCACCCACCACCATTCTAGAATCTAGATGAGTAAATAGCTTAGACTCGAATCTAGAATCGCCCACTGAGCCAAACACCATCACAAAGTCCATGGGAAAACTCCCAAGTTCCAGCTGAGCCTGTCAGTGCTGGCTCACATCTGGTGGGCCCACAACAACTTGGATGGACCACATGCTTTTGCGATGGACCAGGACGGGGGTGGGGGCCAGATGGACCAGGTCCATCCGACACGATCTGAACACTTCTCCACACCTCGGAGAGGTCTGTCCTCCCGCTCAGCGTGGTTCCTGGACGCGGTGATAAACCCGCTCACCGTGGGGGCGAGTGACTTCGCGGTGTCACTCCCGTGTCCCTCCCACTCCCACCCCGCAGGTGTCTCGTCCGTCCGTCGTCAGACCGACCACCTCGCGCAGGCCGCAGGCCAACTCCAGCAGCTCCGCGTCGCTGAGCTCCCGCAGCTCCGCCAAGCAGAAGTCCTTCGCGGAGTGTTTGGTCTGCTGGAAACCCAAAACAACCAGAAAACAGCTCTGGTTGTTCCAAGTTCTGGCGCCTGCTTGAGATCCTTTACATGGCTGGGACTGGGGAGTTTCAGCTGGGCTTCCAGGATAAGACTAGGGAGTCGAGACGAAAAGACCAGTACGGGTAGCGCAAAAAAGCGAGGAACGAAGACAAAGACAACCAGTCCAACTGAGGATCAATTTCCTTTCTTTCCCCTAGCCAGGGTGATGATAGGCAGGCAATGGCAGGCATCGTTTTGTCACGCTCCCAAATCCATCGGCCTTTAGAGCCAATACACAACACGCACGGACACATCCGCCTCGGAACCGCGCTGTGGAAACCACGAGGTCAACCGGTCCTGCATCCAGGCTTCGGTCAAGACCTCCGCCTAGCTCTGCGGAGCTCTGGACCGGACGATGGACGACTGGAACAACCCTTTGCGCTCCGAGGTCATCGTTCGTCCAGGCGCCATTGAAGACCAGCCCATGATAGCCCATGATACCCTGCGTTTGTAGGGTTGGATGCTTCACTGGGCATTCTATATAGAGACATGATCTCCAATGAGATGAGTTGCTAGGGATATTTTCTGTATAAACATCTATACAGTGAGAAGTGTTGTGATATGAAATGGGATGTGCACAAGAGAGAGATACTCTTCGGGATTAGATCCAAACTTTCTATAAAATGACATTTCAGGATATGAATGTTGAAACTGTGTAAACCAAGTTCTTTACTATAAAATAAACAGTTCAACAAAACAAGTGTCAATAAGAGAAAAAGACTCGAAACAATGAACAAGCATCGAAACCATGAATCATGCCTAAGTATCGTGTGTCGTTCGTTGGACCATGTTGGGACATCCAAAGTCAAAATTACTATGAACAGCCTCAGCAAAGTCACAGCCTCATCAATCCTCATCAAGCGTTCTGCGTTCTGCGTTGCACAACTGGGTCCTCTTAGCATTCTTTGATTCACACGTTTTGTTAATGCTCTTTTCCTTCTCCATCGCCTTTCCTTTGTTTCATGAACCAAGTGGGTGTTCCTTTTTTCCCCCCTAAAACCTCAATTCATAGAGGTAAAGGATCCTCATTTCATAGTCCCACCACCGCGGTGGGACTAGCCCATGTGCTGCCGTTGATTGGTCGTGCTGTCACAGAAGATTGGAGGCCGTCAGTCACATGGAAGTCACTGATTCGTATGTGCCTTCTATGACTGTAGAGCAACCTTTCCACTAGTACATCGAAAAACCACACCCATGAAACTCCCGAGGTGGAAAACATGGTGGTTGCTGTTGACTTGTGTAGGGTTTCTCCGTGAGCGCCTGAAAATACACTGAGTCTGTCAGTTCGACTCAGCAGCTCTAGTCATCCAGCTCTAGTCTCCGTCTTCGGAAGCTCACGTCGTTTCGGCCGACTGAAATCACTTCGGCCACGTCTCTCCGTCTCTCCCAGCCCCCCCGGCCTGCGCGAGCGTCGCGGAAGAACGGCCGTCACCTGCAGAGACGCGAGACGCGAGTGCCTGCAGAGACCTTGGCGGTTTGGCGTTTCACAACAGCTTCCCTGAAACACATGGACAAATGAGAGGACACCAGTGATCTCTTTCGTGATCTGCAGTCCCAAAACTTATATGCTATCACTATCTGCTATTGCCAAATTCATGAGGTAGTCTGCAGTCCCAACCACTCCAGCAACAAAGGAATACCGCAATCCAAAGTGCAAGCTGGAAATGCCATTGAAGCTTCTCAGTGTCCCACAGGGTGCGATTTACATTGGTGCAGCTTCGGGTGCCCCTGTTTAGAGTTTAAAACCCAAGGGGCTCTGCAAATTTCTTGAAGGGGGTTGGGGGCATCCAAGAACACGTATATCCTGCTGGCTCTTGGAGTATATTCATCCTGCACTCCAGAATGGCTCTGTACATTGTACTGATATCAGGATCACGCATGCATGATGCGTTAACGCAAATGTTGCTTCCCCAGCGCCAGACGCCGGACGTTCCACGAGAAATCCCAGGCCTTGGAAGACCCGGCGGAGGGCGTCTTGGAGCAAGGCGCGGTCGCTCTGGGTCATCACCTGCAGTCGGACACGCAGGGAACTGTTGTTGTTGTTGTTGTTGTTGTTGGTGGTGGTGGTGGTGGTGGTGTTGGTAAAGACAAAAACAGCTGCCCAACATAGTTGTCACATGTTGCAAGTCAGGGATTTCAAAGGGGCACTGTTAGGGATAGGGTCGAAGGTTTGGAGAGATGTTAGTAGCTGGACTTATTGTCGTTGTGGTACTCAAGTCTTGGTTGGTCGGTTTCTTGTTTTTTGATGTGTTTTGGGATGTTGTTCTGGGGGGGGGGGTCAAAAAACAACAGCGGGGCTGCAGATTTTGTTTCTAGGATGTGGTGGAGGTTCTAAGCAGAAGTTTTACAGAGGCTTTGCTGACCGGACTACCACCACTACTATTACTACTACTGCTACTACCACTACCACTACTACTACTACTACCACTACCACTACTACCACTACTACCACTACTACCACTACTACCACTACCACTACCACTACCACTACCACTACTACTACTACTACCACTACCACTACGACTACTACTACTACTACTACTACTACTACTACTCCTGCTCCTGCTCCTGCTCCTGCTCCTGCTGCTGCTGCTGCTCCTCCTCTACTACTACTACTACTACTACCACCACTAGTACTAGCACTAGTACAAGCACTACCACTACTGGTAAAAGTACATGTTGGCTGGTTGTTTTCGGGGGGGGTCAAAATAACAACGACGGGGTTGCAGATTTGTTTCAACCCCCCCCGTGTAGAGACAAAGGAACAAGATATCTTGTAACGGGGCTGCAGTTTTTGTTTGTACCTTGTTGTTGTTGTTGTTGTTGTTGTTGTTGTTGTTTAATCCTCAACCATCAATGGGAACGACCTTTAGTGGTCCCTTTGTTAATCGTTTTTCACCCTGTTCTTGCCTCTGGCGGTGATCTCAGCCCTTCAAGGGTCGTTCCCGTGGGTTTTCGGTCACCGGTTCCACCCCGCGGTGAACGCGGTGAACCGAAGGAACGCGGTCCGGTGATCGAATGGGCTCCTTCAGTGCTCCGCCCCGGGCTGGGCTGAACCGCCTCTGCCGGCTCCAGGCTCAGAGGTCAGTAGGCGAGAGAAGGACCAGTTTGCATGGGTTCTTTTGTTCTCAACAAATGCCGAGCCCTGGCCCACCGCGCTTTCATTCGACAAACCATGCGAGGGCATCAAAACAAGAAAAATGCCGATCAAAGAAATATGCTGGCGGCCGGGCGGCCATGCATTGCCCGATTCGCATTTGGTCGCACCCACTTTGGGACCCATCCAGAACAAGAATGGTCAGTTCATCGTTCAGTCTGATCCATTCCGTCAGTCTATCTGCATCACCTTGCGAATGACACACCATGGGCCCCTCCTGCGCCCCGAACCCAGGGCCGCCCGGACATCCGGAGGCTTCACGGGTGGTGCCAAGGCCGTCAAACAACTGGTCACCTGACTCAGTGGGTACATGACTCAGCGGTTTTGAAAATCAGTAGGTCAAATGTCTTGCAAATAGTATAACACTGTATAACTGTACCATGAGAACGAGACTGAAAGAGATGTCGCTCCATGAATCAATGGACACGATTTATACAGACTTTTGTGAAAGGGGAGGATGCGCTCTTTCTCGAATCACTCGCTCTATTGGAGGCTCAGTCAGCCGGCCGGACCGCGGATTTTTGAGGAATGAATCCTTTCGACGTTGGCTGCAGCGCGGGGGGCACTACAAAGAAAAAGAAAAGACAAACATAATTGCAATGACTGGTTGACTTGTCTCCACATCAAGGAATGCTCCTTGCAGATGTCGATAATGTCACTTGAAATCAGCGTCAATCCTGCAAACAGCATGAAACGTGCTAATAAATACACTCAACTACTAAGATGGCAACCACCTGGTAGAAGAACTTCGCAGATTCTCGAGATTCTGCATCCAAACTGCAGAAAGGCCCACCCACCCAGCGCGCTCCGCCAGCTCTGTGCGGAAAAGCCCAGCCTGTTTCAGTGGAAGCTCATGGAGATTCTCAAGAACCGGTCGGAGCCTCCGCCGGGCACCGGGAACATCGGTCGGGTTCAAAGACCAACCGGTCCAATCGAGATGGGAACACGGAAACCAAACTCGGGTCTGTTGACCTCTGGACACACTGCTTGCCTCCGGCCATTACAGAACCCGCAAATCCAATCCATAGGACAACACTTTACATACACAACTTTGCCTCGGACACAAACATACCCAACGCGTCAACCTGGTTGACCGGCCGAGGTCGGATCTCTCGAAGCGGCGCGTCACTGGTGGTGGTCGCTCATTACACCCGGACACCGGATGTGGTCGGTGTCCTGAACCGTATACGGTATACGTAGGCGTTTTGCGGCTTGGATTCCTTCGTATACGAGCTCCATTAGGGTGCAGAAACGAACGGACGCAGAGACATACGCAGACGCTAGAAAAAGGCAGGACCATGACATAGACCGGTCGCGAAATGGATGTGGTCGGTACCAGCATTTTGATATGAGGAATACACAGCGTTCGAATGGCAAAGTCTTGCGATTGACGTCCTCCACTTCTTGATATGTCCAAAGCCGGGATAAACCAAAAACAACATAGTACTGGCATGTGGGGACACACGCGGCAACGCGGCAACGCGGCCATCCAGCATTGGTACACATTGGTAGCTTCTGTGGCCCAGCGGACTTGGTTGTGAGTCAGAAGTTGGAGCCCAAAAACCTGGCAGGTCGACCTATTCTGTTCATTCTCGGTGATCAACCAAGCTCCCTTAATGCCACCCACGGCATCCCACGGCCATCCACGAGTCCCCGGCAACTTTGCTGACAGCTCCTGAATCGCCTGGCAGACCCCACGCTGAGACCACACAGACACGTCAGACACTGCGGACGCTTGCGGCATAAATGAAGAATGATGCGGATCCGTTGGCATTCGAGCAACATGATGAGAAGTCCAGAAATTGGAAGAGCAATGACTGAAGTTCACAGCCGCGTGGTTAAGAACATAGATTTCCTCGATTGGCACTTGTGCTTTCAGTCATGGTTGACGACAAACTAAGCCAATCGAGGCGAGCAACGAGGCGATATGCGGCGGTCTCATGTAATGTCCTCGGCGGTCCGGCGGCCCCAAAGTGCATGAAACCACACTGAATTCGTGCATGACAGGCTTCCCTCCTGTTCAATTGAGACTCCCACCAATGTGTTTGACCAACTCACCTCCGGCCCATCTAAACTGTACCAAGGCTGAAAAACAAGCTGTGCTTAGCAACAGCAAACAACTCCTTTGAGAGTTCTGCAACCATCCCCCATGCGCTTTCCACCGCATGAATTGTGCCTCCATCTACTGCGCAACTAGAAATAAAACTTCACGAAACAAAAACATCCGGTTTCATCTCAAATGGCGATCCTATCAGCTCCCCAGTTGCTCCAGGTTGTTCCAGGTTGCACCGTTGCGGAAGTGACCGTGAGAAAGAATTGCGACCGGCCTCGGCCTAAAGGAATCGCGCCGTGGTCGATCAAGAGTCTATTACTGCATAAGAACTCCGACCACTGCAGTCCTCCTTCGCAGAAGTCCACCCCCTTTCTCCCACCGCGGAGTCAGTCCGTCCGTACAGCGCCGTGGTCGAGTCGGCGCCGCACCTGGGCGCCAGTGAGACTGCCCGGCCTGGGCGCATGGGTCGGCTGGCACGGCCGTGAAGGTTCACTGGGATTCGCCTCGCTCATGGCGATGAAAGAGAACCGGTCCAACAAGTTCAAGTATTGGTCCTGAATCAATAACCTTAGAGATCTCAAAGACTGAGAAGGTTCTCTACTTGGGTCAGCACCGACCTCATCTCAACTGCCTCGACCTAGTAAGCTCAACCGATCGGCGTACAGCACTGATTACTGGGGAGTCCGGGCCGGCAGAAGGACCGACGTCGCCAAACCGAAAGTAAATCAAACTGGATGCTAGAAATATTGAAAACATTTGAAAACCATCAGCTGTGTGCTCCCTATGCAGGGGGAATGGGAAGCCATTATTTTGCTTTCCAGCCCTTTCCTTTGTCTTCACACCACCTGGAGAGTGCCCCAAATAAATCCGCTTTCACCATTTCTGCGCGGAACCGCCTCCCCTCCCTTCAGCATCGGTCACGTCCGTGGCATCGGCATCAGGGGCCCCCACAGCGGGCGGGCATTGCTTTGGTCGGGTGTCGCCGTCTCCTGGCATCGACCATCGACCCCTGCGTGGCACGGACGACCCGACCGTGGCCCCGACGACCCGACGCAAAGACGACGACGAACGCAGCAAAGCCGCCGCTTCGGAAGGCGAGAATGGTGTCAAAGATGGTCGAATCCGTTTCCGGGATTTATAGAAAAGGATTAAAGAGGTCGGAAGATGGTTGTGATTTTTCTCCACCCAGGCTGGGCGGTAAGGCACTTTGGGTGAGCCTTACCTCTGAGCACGAGGTGTGGTTTACAACCCAACCTCTGAGCCTCTGCGTGTGGTTTCAAGGTTTGACCCTCCGAATTTGGCACCTCCGGGTGTGGATTCAGAGAACTTTCTCACTTGTACCTTCTCAGCTTGCCAGCTACGCAAGCAGCTTCTGCTCCACGTCGGTCGGTCCTGATGGCTGTAGAGAAGCTGCCACCAATACGCGCAAAGTACATCCTCAGTGCAAGAGCGGTTCGAACTTCTTTCGCAAAACCCATCAAATCAACGCGGTGACTCGTCCAAAACCAGAAGTTTCCCACCCTTGCACCACCGGTTCGACTGGATCCACGGTTGCACCCAACCGAAAAAAGAACCTCCACCTGGTGGGATCCCGATGCTCAGAACGAACCAATCCGAAAGGATCCAACGCCGCTCCCCCAGATCTCCGTTTTGCCGATCTCCGGCGACTGGTCGGGGTGAAGAGGGAAACAACGACTCGCAGTGGAGAAGGCCACGGCACGTGGTTGCAACATGCCAGGTTTATCAGGTGCATGCCTTATACATGGCCATGCCCCTAAGCAACTATAGTGTAGAAGCAGAATGTTACTCCACTGCATGGAATCTGACATAGCATCGAAGGATGTCATCTGCAACCAAAACTGTGCAATGAAGAGGTGTTGAAGCCTCGCACGACATCGGCTTGAAGAACTCCAATGACTCCGGATGTGCATGACTTGCAGCACGACACGGCAACATGACTGTTGCTGTCATACAGCAACCCACCTTCGAAAACAAACAGGTCCAAACTCCCCGCTCTGCCACTGAAAAAGAGCCCGGCTCGGGCTACCCCGAAGACCCGGCTCGGTCCGTGCGAAGGACCAGTGTCCGGCAGTGCTGCGAACAGCCGAAGTGGATGCTGAACGGACGGTGCGAGTTGTCCCGAAGCTGCGTTCGACCTCACGGTAGTTCGAGATGAGCACCATCAAGCTACAGACTGTAGTTCAAGATCAGCATCTTTGTACAAAGCCCCGGCCAAAGGAATCAGTTGCATACATATCAGTCTGTGCCAAAGTGCCTGTTCATCCCTTGCAACATAGAATCATGCATGGTTGCATCGACCTTTTGGACAAGCAACACCAAACACCGTCAGAACTCTTGGTGTGTCTGGCACTGTTTGTCCAACATGTCGACCATGCAACCACGCTTGAGCAGGAACCCACACCTGCAAAGCAGGCGAAGCAGCTTCAGCACGGCCATCTTCCAGCTAAAGTCGAAGTACTTGAAGTAGATGTCTTCACAGCCAGCATGTTCATGCCTTGCAGCATAAGATCATGCCTGGCTGCAGCGTCGACATTTTGGACAGAAAACGATGTTCCGAATACCAGGGTAAGTTATTAATGTTCCAGGGTGGAGTTGTTCCGGGGTTCTCATTCTTCCAATCGTTCGCACCATTGGTTCGCCAAGAAAATCCTGTTGCGCCGCGCGCCAGGCTTATTTGCTTTCCAGAATTGACCTGATCCAAGCTAGCATAGGATGCTGGGTGTCAAAGCTGAAAAACAAGGACACGGAGGGGGCACACATGGCAAGCGCTTGAAGGCTTGGGCCAAAGTGTGATTGCGAACAGAAGAAGGCCAAGCTGAATGTGAGAACATCGATGATCTCAAGAACTTCTTCAGCTCCCACCCTATGCACCCCAACAAATCACTTGACTCTGGGATGCCACTTTAGAGTCAGCTCCAAAAATGAATCACACCAAACACTCACTCGATGTAGCTGTGCATCTTTTTCGAGATCTTTGAGGATGTCTTTTCTCCCTAGCCGGGTCGCCTTTTTGGAAGATCTCACACGGTTCATGCGAACTGGTGCGCATAATTTCTTCCATCCGACTCCAAACACAGAACAGTGAAGAACCGCTGAGAACTGCAGTAAAGCCAGGAAACTCATCCGTGGGCAGATCAATGAGCTACATGTGGGCCTGGGGAGACGGCAGCGTTGCAGCGTGCGTGTTGCAGCTCCTCCGCTGCCTCACTGCGTGGGTCACAGCCAGGTCTCCGCGTCGATCTCATCCTCCGGCGTTTCTTCGGCGGAAACGGTGCGAGTGGTGCCCGGTTTGTGCGTGGAGTGATACCACCTTAGAACAAAACCATGCCACTTCTATCAAAATAGGTAGCTACATACTACAATACCGTATAACATTTAATGTGGTATAAATGACACGATGTAATATACAGTAGTAATGTACGGCAATTGGTAACATGTGTACGCAGCCATCATCAGAAATTCAACAGATATTTGGTGGAAAAAATGCAAAAATCAGCGACTCATAGAACTTTCGGCAATGGTCGAAGTGCCGTGTGGAGTGCCCTGTGGATTGTTTGATATTCATTTCATGGCACGTCAGGGAGAAGGCTACCATTTGGGGTTTCCTGTGACCAGGCTCCTCCTCCTCCTCATCATCATCATCCCTGACCAAGCAAGACCCAGGCCGCTGCCTGCGCTGCCTGCGCTCAGCCACTACGCTGCCCCATCAGCACAAGCCTCACACCACCCGCGAGGCCAGAGTTCGAACATCACAGCCACAAGGGCCACAAATAATCGGACCATGAAAATCCCGAGCCCCCTGCAACATCGATGGGTACATGGTTTTCATGGTCCAAAACAGACCTGGAGCCTGGCATTTAGTCAAATGAATCACCCTCGCGTCTTCAAGTACATGAGTGGTCGTCCGCCCAACCTTCCCAGGTGCGAAAAGGTCGTCCACTCTGTGTTTGCGTTGCATGGTCGTGGCTCCCAAGGTACGTGGGGGCTCTGCCATCATGCATCGTCGCCTTCGTCTCGATCCAGGTCAGTGAGGTGAGTGATGAGCTATGCAACGGACATTGGACAATCCGTCACCGCCGCGGAACCGCCCGCAGTGGAGACCGGTGGAGAGCGACTACGAGGAGTCGCGGCAGCCAGGGCGACCAGCTGGTGGAGTGGGTTGTGGGCTTAGAGTGGCTGCTTTGGCTGGTAGGGAAGGGCGATTGGGGGCCACAAGCCAAGTGGGTGGCCGATCCACTGCCCGTGCTAGTGGCACAATTTCTTCCATGGTGGTGGAGGTAACACCAACTTCTTCTTTTGAGCCACCTACTGTTCCTGACCGGCGCCACCAACTTGCTGAACGCGTTGACGGTGATGTTGGACAGGATCATGAATGGCAAGATCACTCATGGCAATGGAACTGGCACGCCTGGTCGTCATGATCACCCTCGGGACCCTCAAGCGTGGTCATCATCGTGGCAATCGTGGGACTGGGACCTTGCGGATGACAATTGGTCGTCAGACAGGCTGACCACACCGGCGCTGCCAGTGCGCCTGCTAGTGAGAATGGAGGGCACCAGGCATTTAGGTGATTGGTTACAGTCTGGTGGGAAAGTAAACGAATCCCTTGATGCGCAAAATTGTCCTGATGGCTCACGGAATCACTTCTGCCTCAACTTGAGAGAAGATGAGGCAACACCAGCCCCGCCTCCGGTGACTGAGAGAAGAAAGGGGACGTCAAGGAGTCTCAGCGGATTCCCTCTTCGTATTCTAGCAGCTTCGCCGCTCAGCCGACTTAGTCCCCTAAGTCACCGAAATTAACACAATTACATGTTTCATGGATTTACGTAAATTGGTGTTGAAGTCTCCAGCGAGGATGACCACATTCCTTTGGGGAAGACCCGCCAGGAGCCCATCACAGGTGTTCAGAAGGCCTGAGCGTTTGTCTTTGCATTGGTTGTCAGAGCCTGTCCAAGGGCGCTGGTAGAGGTTGACCAGGTCAATGCCAGTGGAGTCAAGATAAAGTCGAGCATGAAGTAACCGGCCCCCGAGGACCTCCCACCAGGAGGTTTTGTCCGGGGGGCAAAAGTCCTTCCTGATGATGGTCATGAGTCCACCTGCCCTGTCTTGTGAACCACTGTGTATATAGGCAAACGTGTTGTCCGACCAGTCACCTGTGAACCCCCATCGAGTGTCCTGAAGAAGGAGAAGGTCAATCCGTTGGTCAAACTTGTAGGAGCTCAGGGAGCCAATGTTCCAGCTGAGTCCTTGGAGTCTGTTTTTCCTGATTTTGGCAGGAGGAGGAACGTTCTGAGCTCCTGAGGGGGCCGGTGAGTCCTTGTGAGGTTGCCAGGGTAGTGGAGTCACTCCAAGCATCTGTGCTGTATAAAGCTTCCCTTTGTACCATGTGAGCGGATTTCTTCTTCGGAATGCGCTGGTAATAGTCCAGACGTTGGTGTGTGGATCCAAGGCTACTTGGCTTTGCCGTTGAAGTGTCCTGATTGGCAAAGGTTGATGAGGCTTCACCGAACCGTGTGGCTGGTTCGGAACCCTCAGGCCACCAGGGCATGGCTTGTGCATTCAGCTTGGTCATATGGTCTTCGAGGTAGTCGGCGGATAGTCCACCAAGAAGGAGGAAGAGAATGCCTGCCCTGGCTGGGGACTTGGGACCCCAGCTTGCTCGTGCTGTAGGTGCAAGGACCTGGGATGCTGTTCTCGTGGGCCGGAATCGTAGTCTGCTCGAGGAAGAGGTGTTCTGGTAGTTCTCAAAGTTCCGGAGGAGAAACAAATTAATCACCTGAAAAAGAGAACCGCAGCCAGGATGACCGTGCCACCCCCAGGGTCAGTCTCGAAGGGATGCCCTTGAAGGATTTTTGCGAGTAGCCGGATGTAGGACCGGTTGTGGGAGGTCTCCAGGATCGGGGTGACCCCATGGGCTTGGGGGGTCCGCACCAGCCCGTACCTTTTGAAGGTATAGGGCCTGAGAGCTAGTGGCCCTTATTATCATCATCATCATCATCTTTCTTTCATACGCTCTTCGGTCGAAGATCGCGTGGACCTGTTAGTCCATCTGGTGCCCCGTGGGGCCGAAACCTCAGCTAAAGGTCTGGTCCAACAGCCGAGCTAGTGTGGATGCTCTGGCTGTTTCTTTCTGATGGGACCTCAACTGCAAATGCAAAATGGCGAACTGCCTCAAGCATGGGCAAACATGGTCTTCTTCAAGACCGGTGCCAAAGAAGGGCTGACAAGCGCACCACCGCGTTGGGTGGGCGTGTGAAATGAAGCTCACTGCACTCTTCTCCGCCAAGGGGGCAGCCTCGTTCCACCAGGTTCTATGTGCCACTTGCAGGTGCCCATTCATGTCCCGAGGCCAGCTTCCGCAGGTGATGCATTTTTTCACAAGTCGGTGGCAGAGGCTGGGATTGTCCACAAGGATCTTGGTGTCCAGGAGATCGAGGCTTCGAAGCCATGCTCCATGCCAGTTGTCGTTGATAGTCGGGTCATGGATGATGTTGTGCATCTTCTCCTCCTCGGTCAGGATGGGTGATTCATCGGCCATCTTTGACACCTCTTCTGCTCCACCGTGCGGAGTGCAGTTCAGCCAAAGCAGGCAGCTGTTTTCTTGAGCCACCAGCGGTAGTGCCGAGAACTTGACCGGCTCATTGGAGTCGTCGAAGATACACCACCAGTCCTTGTCCTTGATGGCAGTGCAATAGTGCCCACTTGTTGCTTCATCTCCGAGATGATAGGAGACTCCGGTGACCACAAATGGGATGTAGTCCACCTCGAGCTTCTCGCCCAGAAAAAAGGGCAGCCAGACCTTAGAGTCCCATGTCAGGCGGTTCTTGCTTTTCCCCCCCCTCGAGTCGAAGCGGTCGATGTGCAAGCATGTGACATCGGATGGATCGGTCAAGGCGTGTAACCCGAATGACGCTAGGCTCCACGTGGAGACCAATCCCTGCAGATCGATGGGGAGCGTGCTCTTTTGTTCGCTGCAGATGTAAAGATGCAAAGGGCATCCTTGGGCATTGTGGTCCACCACCTTCATGGTGCCCTCCTCATCCAGCCGGCTTTCCCAACAACAGCTGAGAAAAAAGGGATTTGTTTGCTGAAGAAGATGATGAGCAAAGTCAACCACATCATGTTGCCGAAAAGGATTGGACCAATTGGCTAGGAGTGAGGTCCACTGCCCATCTGACCATAAAAGAAGCGGTTGCCCTTTGGACACATCTGTCAATTCCCCAAGAACCCCAGGGAAGTTGGACCATTGATCCATCTTCAACCCGTCAGCATGAAGGGCACTCCAGGCTAGTCCAGTCACAGCTGAGTTCATGTAGCATGCTGCAGCTGGATTCTGAAGTGTCCGAAGAGGAGGAGTGGTGGGTTCCATCACAGTTGATCCAGCATTTTGCCCAGGTGCTGAGCGAGTGGTGTCCGGTGGATGCTGGCCGAGCGCATCCTGCCCAACACTAGTTGCCAAAGCCCAGAGTGACTCAGTTGGTGCCACAATCCCCGCATCTCGTTGGCATGAGGATGAACCAGGGCCAGTGTTATTCTCCAGGGGATGATGGCGGAAGGTGTCTCCGTCTCCGTGGTCATTACCTTCTGGATATGCTGGGGAGGGCGTAGTGCTCCGAATCTCTTGACCAGAGCTTCTTGCTGAAGGAGAGTGAGCATCCTTGTCACCGTCTGGGATGCCTGGGTCAAGGTCAGAGGAGCGTCCTCCTGAGCCTCCATCGCCTGCTTGCTGGAATTCCACTTCATACGAGGAAACATGTATGATTCGGGCTTCTCTGGCTCGAGCTGCAAGAAGTTCAGGCGTTGCAATGTCTGGATCAAGGGCTCGGAGGAGCCCGTGGATTGAAGTTTCTGAATCCTCTTCAGCAATTCCTCCAGGAGGGTCTTCAAGACCAGGATCCGGAGTGGATGTGTCCGCTCTGCCTGTGGTGTCTGCTGCCAGGTCTGTGTCTGGGCCATCATGAGAGGAACCACTGAGCCTGGACCCACGCTCAAAAAAACGAAGAAGTCCGTCTCCATAGCCAGGCATTGGAGTGTGTCTTCGCGCCGAAGGACGAGTCGGGTCATGGCTTGAAGGAGCGTCTTTGTATCTTGTGTGGGTTCGTCCTTGGTGTTCAGGATCTTCCCCTGGCCTCTTTTTCCTTTTCCTTTGCCCGGCCCCTTCCCTCCATTCGACATGGAAGACCTCGGGCGCTTTGCGCTCTGCTTGTCCTCGTCCACCTCCATCTTCACCCATTGGTTCAGAGCGCCCCACATGTCCGAGATCTGGTTGTCCCCCATGTCCATGGTGGAGGATGGCAAGTAGGCCGGACAGTTGGAGGAGAACTGGACACTGTACTGCGGTGGGGTGGTTGCTGCAAATGGAACATGTTTGCTGTCGTTTTTGAGAAAAGGACAGAAACTTGTAAAACAAGGCACCACGATTCCCTTGTTTGGAGTGGTTGTTCCAAATGTGTTGCAGCATGTCTCTTGGGTCAACTTGTCTTCCACATAAGCAGCACCATGTACTGAGAGCGGTGCAAAGAGCGCTATCCGTCAGAAGCTCTTCAAAGTTGCCCGTCGTGAGCATGCTGTCAAGGTCCGGAAAGTTCAGGGCCAGCGTGGGGCTAAGCACTTGGAGGTCCAGTCGCAGTGCATGTGCCAGGATGAGTTCATCGCTAGCATTCTGCAGCTTGTAGAGGTCGTGGTGAACAAACAATGCCAGCTGCGTGAAGACGGTGCAAACATGTGGTGTCGAGGGTGGCCTGAGGCAGGAACAGGCCAGGTTCCGTAGAGCACTGTCGGTTTGGAGCCATTCGGCATAAGAAGAAGCCATGGTCCAGGTAGTGGCATGCGCCGTGCTCAGGTGCTTCAATAGGGAAGATGAGCTGGAGGATTGATGTCCACACAGTCCGCAAATGTAGCCCAGTCTACGAATCAGTGATTTGTAGGCCATCAGGTGATCGTAAGTTCCTCCATGCAGGCCGGAGATCACCAGTGGATGATGCCAAAGAAGAGGAGGAGCATCTGGAAGGGGTTCAGGACATTGGCCACCGTCAATGTGGTGCCGTAAGGCGGCAAGGCAAAGGAATGAGGCGCTGCAGTGAGCACACTGTGTGAGGCCTGGTACTTGATCCCTCGCTGCCATGAAGGTCCTCGTGGTCGTAGAGTGTTGATGTTCCATAGCCTGGTGCTGATTTAGACCTGCTGCCGTCACGAATTTCCGTGGGCATTGAGCACAGGCAAATTGTGCATCCATCCGTTGAGGAGGTTGAAGTACTGGTGGAGGGCATGCCGGATACTGCTCCCGGTGTTTCCTGTAGGCGAGTGCAAGACCTAGCTGCTTTTTCACCGGACAGGTGTGTGTCTTGGAGCGGAATTCTTGTCCACAAAGTTCACATGGAGAGTTGGTCCTAGCTCGAACAACATTTGGGAGGACGTCCCCCATCATGCCATAGATGTCTCCATGATCTCTTCCCATGTGTGCAGACATTTGCTGCAGTCGTGATGACCAAAAGCCGCAAAGAATGCACCGTTGGGTCAAAAAGTAGCAAAGACTCCTGTCATTGGCAAGGGGTGCCATGTCACCTTCATCAAAGTATGCCAGCAGCCGTTGTCGATGTTCTTGAAGTTGTGCTGGCGGAGCCTTGGTGGAGTCAAATTCAGAACATGCATAGGAGCTGATGTGATGCCGGAAATTCTGCCAACTTATGAAGGAGTCTCCACAGTGCCGACATGTAGGTTTCCCTTCAACTGCATCTCTAGCTATGTCCAAGGCGGGACCAGCGCCATGCAAAATCCCGTGAACAAACAGTTCATGTCGTCTCAAGGTGTAGAGAAACTGAAAGGTCTGCCCACATTGGTGACAGTCCAGTCCGGCCTCTGCCAGTGGAAGCTTTGGCTGAAGATCCAGATCTCCAAGGTCCTGAAGCCATGTGTCAACAAGGTTGATTGATGTGCCCAAAGCATGGAGATCAAGATGTTGGAGGATGTCATGAGCCTCAAGAAGTTGAATCCGGTCCTCATGCCTCTTCACCTGAGAGGCCATCCGCTCCCGAAGCAGTAGCGCCGGGTGCCGAAGGTGGTTGTCGGTCAGAAAATCAAGATGAGTGGTGTGAGTCAGAAATGAATGATCTCCGGCTGCTTGTCTTAACATTGTCGTCATGGTCTTGGAGAACATGGGAATTGAGGCGTGATCCACACCTGTTGCATCCAATCCGTAGACTCCTATGGGAAAAATGCATGTCTGCCACAGAGCCACCTTCTGAGCCGAGTGCATGCCATTCTTTGTGAACCAAGGTTGCATCTGCTTGAAACGAGCTTTGCAAGCTTGAAGACGTGCTTTCATGGTGTCTCTTTGAAAGTTGTGGTATCCCATTTGGACTCCCAAATATTCGTGCTTCTCAGTGATTGGTATTGCGTGTGAGCCACCTTCTGCCTTTGGAATGAGCAAAACCGAGCGATCCAGCTGCTTTTGCACGAAGCGTTGCTTGGCTAGACTCTGTTGTTTGCCGCCCCAGCGAAGGATGACAGCTGATTTCTGCATGTTCACCGTCATGCCCATGCGTTCAAGTACAGAGATAAGTTTGCCAAAGAAAACAAGGCCTTGTTGAAGTTCCTCGAAGGTTCTGAAGACAAAACATGCATGACCATCATCCGCATAGAAGGTGCAGTGTTTCCGCATCCAGTCCTCTGAGGTTTCAGTCGCTACCATTTGCAGAATTAGTGCAATGAAACTGGCCCAGAAAAAGGGGGCACCCCTGCAGCCTTGTCGAACTCCCCTGAAGGTAGCCTGTTCGGCTGAAATGCCTTTCCACTGAATAATGTATGAGGTTTCGGTGTGCCACTTCATCAAAAGAGATGTCAATTCATTGGGGAGACCAAGGAGAGAGAATGCTGCAGCGAGGTGTTCCCTCGGCATTGCGTCAAAGGCTCCTGTGAGGTCCAGGAAAAGTTGACACCCTCCAAACAGAAGGGGACGCTTCCCCCCGTGCCCGTTCACTTGACTGGCGTCATATCTCCAACGACGATGAAGCTCTGAAACCTCCCGAGAATGAGCTTGAACCCTGGTGATTGCTTCCCAGGTACCCCTGCCCGGCAGGTAGGCGAATTGTGGAAACCATGTCAGTGCTGGGAATGTGATCTTTCTGGCTTCATGTACAAAAAGAGACATGACTGTCTTGGAGAGAGGGGTCTGAAGAGCAATTGGCCGAAGTGCTTTTGGTTCAGTTGGAGGTTTGTTTGGTTTGGGCAGTAGGACCACCCAGCCTTTCCTCCATTCATTTGGAATGATGCCAGAGTACATCCATTGTTCCAGCCAGGTGAAGACCAAGGGCCCAACCGAGAGAGCCAGCGCCTTCCAAATGAAGCTAGGAGCAATGTGCTGAGGAACACTGGTGCGTCCATAGAGACCTTGTAGTTCGTGAGTGAGGTCTGTGGCATCAAAGGGTAGAGCTTCAAGTTGGAATTGAATGCCCGTGAGGTCCGGGCCTGCATAGAGGTCGGCCATGTAGTCTTGAATCCAACAAAGTTCCTCCTCTGGTGCCATGAGTTGTCCTTCAGAACGACGAAGTTGAGGTCGAGGAGGTCTGACTTTGGGGGTGAGCCGGTTGACCACCTTGAAGTACCTGTGCGATGCGTTGTTCGCCCAGTGCCGCCTAGCCTCTGCAATAGTGTCGGAGAGCTTGGCTTTTTTGGCAGCCTTGGCTCTTTGATGGGTGGTCCTTTTCCATCGTTGAATTTTAGCTGCTTTAGCCCAAAGCCCAAAGAGCTGTTGAAGTCTGCTGGTAAAGTGAGTCCTTGTAGCAACTGGTGGGAGAGACAGGCCAGGATGGCCATCCGCCCAGGACCAGAAGGTGGAAGGACGATCTTGTTGACCCCTGGATAGAGGAGCAAAGTCTTTGCAGCCATCAAGAAGGACTGTGTTGAGGGCTTCCAAGTCCGGAGGTTGATCCCAGAGTAGCCCAATCTTGTGCTCTATGGAGGAGCAAAGAGAGTTCCATTCCTCGCTCTGAAGTTCCCAATGTCGTAGGAGAAGGTCGCGTTGTCCACGAGACAGGCCAGAAGCGGGTTTGGCCCAAGCTCTCCATTTGTAGGGAACGGTGAAGAGGATGGGAACATGGTCTTTGGAGTGACCAAACTTCTGAGGGAGCTCATCCAGGTAGACGGGCTTCTTGGTGAGGGAGTCGCTTGATTTGTGCCTGACCAAGACAAAGTCAATCCTGGATTTGTTGGAGTGCCCTCCGGTGTAGGTGGGGCCCAGGTTGGTGTCCCAGGTGTTGATAGCCGTGAGGCCATGCTGAAGAAGAAGGTCTCCAAGGAGATGGGAGTCCGGATGCCGTGGCCCGGACCGACGCCCCTTTTCATCCTGGAAGTCGCTAAGGCCTACACAATGCGTTGTCCGGTGAAGGCTTGTGTTCAGATCTCCCCCAAGGATCACCACATTCCTCTGAGGCAGCCCAGCCACGAGCTGTTTGCAAGCTTGTAGCAGTGCTCGTCGGTGCTGAAGGCAAACTGGATCATTCTGGATCCAGGCATGTTGGTAGGCATTGATGATGTCAATGCCCGTGGAAGGAAGGTAAAGTCGGACATGTAGTAGTCGTCCAGGAACCACTGCACGCCATGAGATCCTGTCGAGATCACAGAACCCTTTCCGGATGATGGTCATCAGCCCGCCAGTTTTCCCTGTGGAGCCGCTGTGGATGTAGGCATAGTGTTTGTCTGACCAATCACCACTGAAGCCCCAGCGAGTATCCTGCAGAATCATAATGTCAAGGTGTTGTGAGAGCATCCATTGACGGAGAATGTCGAATTTGTAGTTGCTGAGTGAACAAATGTTCCAGCAGAAACCTGTGAGCCGATTTTTCCGAACCTTTGCCGGAGGAGGAGTATTGGGAGTCTGAGAGGATCTCAAGGTGTCCTGTGGCCTTGGCTGTGGAGTTTCGTCAATGCCCAACATGGCAGCCGTGAGGAGGCGTCCACGATACCAAGTGTGCCCATGTAGGTGAGCTCGTTTGAGTGCACGAATATAGGATTTCTTCCTGTGCTGAGGGTTTTGATGTTCCAGATGTTCAGAGGTAGGTCCAAGGCCACTAGGCTTCGCCATAGAAGGGTGATGTAGGGCCAGGAATTGGGTGGCTCCCCCGAACCTCGTGGCAGGTCCGGAACCCTCGGGCCTCCAAGGCACAGCATCTGGGTTGAGCGTGGTCATGTAGTGCTCTATGAAGACCAAAAGAAAGCCTCCAGCGATGAGGAGGATCCGTGCCTTGGCCGGGGACTTGGGACCCCGGTTAGCTCTCGTCCCTTCTGCTAAGACCTGGGAGGTCGATCTTGAAGTCCAGGATCTATGTCTTGAAGGTGAAGAGGAGACCTGGTAGTGCAGAAAGTCCAGGAAGTAGGTCAGGAAGAACCCAACAATGTTCAAGAAGTGGAGCGAAAAGTCCGCGCCCCCTCCTGTCTTGGTGTCCGTGTGGAAGGGATGACCGTCTTGGGATCCTGCAAAAAGCTGGGCGTAGGACCGGTACTGGAGGGACCCAAGAAACACGGTCAGGTCAAAGGCCAGGTTGACCATGAGCTGGGGCCTTCCGCACTAGCCCCCCCACCTTGGGGAGGTTGGGGGACCTGAGAGCTAATGGCCCTTATCATCATCATCATCATCATCATCATCACCATCATCTCTGACCAAGCAAGACCCGGGCCGCTGCCTGCGCTGCCTGCGCTCAGCCACTTCGCTGCCCTATCAGCACAAGCCTCTCACGACCCGCGAGGCCAGAGTTCGAACATCACAGCCACAAGGGCCACAAGGGCCACAAGTCAGCGTTCTTGTTTTGAATCATTGGACCATGAAAATCCCGAACCCCCTGCAACAGCGATGGGTTTCATGGTTTTCATGGTCCAAAACAGACCTGGAGCCTGGCATTTTTCATGTGGGCGATGTGAGATCCTGGAGCTGAATTCTTCCCGCCACGTCGCTAGAGCGCCTCGCCTGAAGAAACCCGAAGAGCGGGTCGACATGTCCCAACCAGGAGTGCCAGTCGGTGTAGACATCCTCCAGCGAACGATCGCACGGGGAGTGACCTGCAGAGTCGTATTCTGCACTGTGGGGCGTAGAATCACGCTGTGGTCGGGCGTAGACTGGCTGTGGTCTGCATCTTCTTGTCTTTCGTGCCCAATGGTAAGGCTTGCATTTGGTGGCTTCATTCAAAATATTCAATAACTGAAATCAACTGTCTCCTCAGTGTACTTTTATATAAGTTGTTGTTCCCAGTACGTTGCAGTCGGTACGTTGCAGTCTCGCACTTTCGCCCCCACAACACTTGCAACAGCCGAGAGTGAGCTGTACGCATCACCCACCTCGTCCCGCCCGCCGACACGCCGCGCCCGCCCAAAGCGGAGCCCAACCAATCTGCCCAAAGCGGAGCGATTCAGGATCGCCGCCATGACAAGTACCAGTGTCTTTCTTCACCGTGCAGCGTCTGTCATGTTGTCAACGACCCTTACATGTCTGTCAACCTCCCCTCGAATCCTCGAATCCCCCGGCCTCCACCATGGCATGCGAGAGATTGGGTGGACAATGCCCTGGGCCTGGCGCCAGTTCGGACGAACGCGAGGTCGCGGTGATGAATCCAATGCGAGGTCGCGCGGTGTCCAGGGGCATGGCAGGTGGAACACCAGCATCCTTCAACGTTTCAAAACTCTGCAAGCTCTTGGACCACAAGACAGCAGAAAAGTAGCTATAAGAAGCTAGTAAGGACATGTGGGAGGAATAATGTCCGAACAACCAGATCAACCAGAACCTAGCAATCAATCAAGCAGCAGACCCAGCTAAACAAGCAACCAAATAAAATCCAACCAAGGTAATTAACTAGCTATGATCACCACTTGCCAACCAAACCAGCAACCATCCCTCTCCTCGCAACACATTTATGTATATGTATGTCTCCCCAACCTTCACAGGGCCCAAAAAGCTCCAAGCGCGGATGGAGGAAGGCCGAGAGTTCTCCAAAGTCCACACCTGCAGAAAAAAATACCGAAAAACCGCCCTGGAGGACTCTCTCCGTCGCCCAAGACCACTCCACCGGCCGTCGTGAAACCCTCGGGGCGTGGTCTGGAGAGAGAGGGGCGGGCGTCCGCCCAGTCCGGGGCGATCGGATCACAGTCCGATGTGACCGATGAAACGGATGGAGCCATACTTCTCTCCACGACATCGGTCGAGTCGCTGGCCTCTCTGTGTCTTGAAAAGGGACAAAACGAAAAGACACAGCTACTACAAAGGTCGGTTCCCCATATTCAGCTGTAAAAGGGGTGGCCTATTTCTATATTTTAAGATAAAAAGAATTCCCTAAATGTTGACACTTCTCGTGGTTCTGTTCTGTTCAAATCTGCAACAGCGAGCTTCACACCTCATGTCAGGTGCGGTCCAGCTTGCAAGCCGGCGGTCGCACAGAATGGGCACCCAAGCTGAAATACCGAGACTAAAACAACTTTCGGATGAAAGATGCATGGAACAACCAAAAATACCGCAGTTAAGGATGCCAAGCAGGACATGGCTCTTTGAGTTTTGGTTTTGGCCAACAGCTAGTTACTAAACAGCCTTGTCTGGCCTTGTCTTATTCCCCACCCCAAATCCTGGGCTTCAGTGCAACTGTCGGAACTCCAAAACGCCAGCAGCAGCAGCAGCAGCAGCAGCAGCAGCGGTGGCCGATGTGCATCCCAAGCGGCCAATGGCACCCGGGCTGGGTAAATCCGTGGCGCTAAAGCGCCGGCCGTAGACGAAGCTCAACAGCAGCCCTGAGGGGAGCGAATGTTCCTGTTTTCGGGTTCCTCCCCACGTGGGCGAGAGAAACTTCACATGGCCTAGCCGCCTAGCTTTTGCATCGAAAGGTGCAAGAAAAAGAGAGACTTGCACAGAACCACGCAGGAAACCGAACAGGCTAGTCTTACAAAAGAAAGAGAGAGAGAGAGAGAGAGAAATAAATAAATAAACAAACAAATAAATCGGATTGAAGTGCAGGATCCGTTGCTTCAGCCACGTGTGCTACAAGGATCTAAAAAGGCGAGGGCATCACTGCCTGGTCAACTCACCACCGCTAACCCGCCGAGCTTCGTGGTTGCATCTTGAACTGTTCTTGGGCGAAGGCCAAAGGTTGCTCCTCGGTAGCAGGGTTGCAGCGGTAATTGAGTCACGCAAAGGCATGCCCGCTTCGACGCACTCCGTTCCACTTAGGTGAAGCTGCGTTTGTCTGTGTCCCTCCCTTTCCTTGAAAACTGCTCTCTGCTCTCACCGAAGTCTCCTCCAAATACTGCACCTGTTCGCCGAAAAAGAGGACCACATCCACCAGCTCGCCGAACATCTGATAGGGGCCTCACCAGTTGGGGAGCCCACCCACAAGCAGCGACACTTTTTCAGGCCCAACCGTCCGATCATGTCCGTTCAGTTTTTCCCTTCGCTTGAAACACTTTTCATCACTTTTCTATCTTCTTGCTGGTTGATTGGGTGAGGTTCTAGTTCACCCGGGGTCGGTCGGAGGTAGGTTTTGCTCACGACTCTGTCAAATCCGCTGTACTCCTCTGACTTCCGCAGGATTGGGCGGTCCGATCCAATGCGATCGAGTCCCTCCCACATGCTTCCACATGCTGTGGATACGGATCCCCATCTCCCGGCTCCCACATGCTGCGGATCTGGTATTTGGTTGTTCACCTCGTCTCCTCCCAACGAAGAAAACACGAAAAACGAGGTGTCTGAGAGTTCTTAGAGGGGGCGAAAAGAACCGCCTTCCCATTTTTGAGGAATCTGGACACACACGTCCACGCGTCCTGGCAGGCTCTTCCAGCTAGCGGGCTCAAATGGGTGGTCCTTTGGAAGATCTCAGAAGTGACGTCTACTTCCGAATGCCCAACATGCATTCAAATGATCTGTTCACAGTGGCCCGCCACTATCTTGCTCCTCTGTCTAGAAGAAGTCCTCCTCTAAACCCCCGGCTATAGATTTTGATGTTTCTTTTAGGTTGCATGCAAATGATTAAAAAACATGTTTAAACACATCACCCTTTCTGGCCTTTGTCACCTGCCGGTTGCTTGCCACCCTCAACACCACACCACCACACACGTGTACCACCGGTCTGATTCCCAAGCGGCCCGCGGCTTCATTCACCCGCTCCAGGACCTGGCGGAAGGGGCTGGTGATCCGTTCGGTGAAGGTGTCGGTCGAAATCGCGGCGGTCCCTGAAAAGCTGAGACTTTCCTACCAGACATGACTGTGAGTGAGAGAATGCGAGGAGTGAGGTCCACATGATCATGCGTGGAGCAAAAGAAGTCTCCCCGTCTCCCCGAAGTCTCATCTGAAGCTATTTCGAAGGACTTGGGTCGAGGCTCCCATCTGCAAATTTCGGCCATGTCATGGATACATCCAACTCGCTGTATCCAAACTCGAAGGGGTACCTTTCAAGGAAATCAAGGCCCCAAAAATATCGGTCCACATCTGTCGCTGCCACAAAACAGGAAGGAAAAAAGATTCCGCACAATGTGGATGTGGCATGTCACCAGCCCAAATGTCCAGAACCTGAATACTAAATAAGCTGTTGATGAACACCAAAAGCTGTTGATCCCCAATTTCCATCCAACCATCTACTTCACTACATTAGCCCCTGGCCTTCAAGCGGCCTGAAAAATGAGTCCTGGACCCCCTGCCCACCCTGCCAGCCCTGCCAGCCCAGCCGCTTTGCCCTGCCTGCTGCATCCAGCCGTGCTCCGCCACTTGGAAGCTTCGATTCGGCCACCCGCCGTGGCAGCCTCGCTGCTGCAGGATGCGGTGCAACGCCCGAGCAGTGTACCTGTCGTTGGGGACCAGGCGACGGCAGATCACCTGTGTGCGACGGCAGGATCCGTGTTTTGATTTTGACAGGTCCTCCTTCTGAACTACGGTGAGAGTTGATCCACACTCCTTCTGAGCTGTTTCGTTCACTTGCATGACCTGATATCATCAGCTATCTCTGGTACATGGGGTGCTCAGCATCAGCGCTCTTTTTTCTTTGGGGAATCCAGGACTTCCGTATCCAAGGGTCTCTCCCAATCTCATTAATTGCATTTAATTGCCGTATATGGCCAATATGTAGATCTCCAAAGAAGCTGCCGCTCTTCACCACACTCACCTGTGTCCGGATCCGGCTGCGCCTGAAGCCGTGGATGAAGCCTCCAGCTGATCTGCGATAGTCACGGCCATGGCTCACAGCGCCTGGATGTCGCCGACCCGACGGAGAAGGGTCCCGTGTGGTATTTTCGGTGCCAAAAAAAGACGTCTCAGAGATTGGGTGCTGGGACAGAGATTTGAGATGCACTGGAGAAGGGAGAAGGGTTTGCTCCTGGATTCCACGGTGCAGAAGACATTGAGGACGAGCGGGGAGGTCCAGTCCGAAACTGAAAGCCAAGTGCTTCAAACTGTTACAGCATGGACCTGCTGAGAAATGAGACGTTTCCTTTTCAAGACCGGATGGTCACAAGACCCAAGTCCTCACTACTACCGCAGGGTAGAGGACGGAACCTCTCCAAGGTCCATGGGGTAAAAGAGTTTTCTCAGGGCTGTTGGGGTCCCTTCACACAAGCGACCACAAGCGACCACAAGCGACCCTTGGTCCACCAGGTCTAGCTACGCAAGCTAGGCAAGCTGTAGGCAAGCTAGAGTGAAAGTCTGTCCTCATGTTCCTCACCACACGCGTCAGACGGGTCACGTTCACAGCAACCGTCGAATGACAAACACCGCCAGAGCAACCCATCCCGATCTCCAAAAGGTGGGAGCACTGGAATGATGCGTCCATCGACGCTTCAGCATCCCATGCGTCCCGTCATCCCACCTGCAAAGTAGAGGCCAGGCATCGTCACTGACTGGTAGGACGCGTCCATGGGTGGGTACTTGCCTCGAGTGCCATGTCGTGGGATCAATGGCCATTCTCATGTGCCGCATGTGTAGAGTTCACATGTGCGCCACGTCCATTCTCATCAAATCCAGCCATCTACACCAGCTAAGCAGCTACAACATGAACCACCACACCCAAACCTACCCGCCTGTGAAAACCTCCAGGCCCTCCATCAGGTTCGCCTTCCACCCCAAGCAGCGCACGGCCACGTCCACGGGAAACCGCAACGGCTCGATACCCAAGCTCGGACGCAGCCTGCGTAGCCGAGATAAAAATCTTGGAGGAGCGGAGAGTCACAACTGGACGCTATGCAAAATAGAAATAGATATCTCTCAGGGTCTGTGCAATGGGATTCGTACATATTCTTCTATTTGTTTTTTTTTCCTTCTTCTTCTTCTTTTTATTCTTATGATTGCTATGTTTCTTTTTCTTCTTCTTCTTATTCTTATTCATATTCTTCTTCTTCTCTTCTTCGTCCTCTTCTTCTTAAACTTCTGTTTCTTCTGCTTCTTCTCTTTCTTCGTCTTCTGCTTCTTCTGTTTTTTCTTCTTCTTCGTCTTCTTCTGCTTCTTCTGATTTGTCTTATTGTTATTATGTGTTGCCTTCTTCTTCTTCTTCTTTTTCTTCTTCTTCTTCTTCTTGTTCTTCTTCTTCTTCTGCTTCTTCATCTTATTCTTATGTTTCTTATTCTTATTATTGTCATTATTATTACTATTGATCTTCTTCTTCTGCTTCTTCTTTTGCTTCTTCCTCTTCTTCTTATTTTTCTTCTGCTTCTTCTTTTTATTACTATATATTCGTCTGCTTCTTTTCTGACTCCAAGCAAACCATCTAATTGTCTGAGTGGTTTATCCACATACGTTTCCGTGTTCGAGCGGACTGAGTGGTCTCCGTTTGAGGTTTCAAAAAGCCCACGCTTGTTCCCTGAGTGAGTGCCTACCTGAATTTCTTAGTTTAACAAGTTCCGGCCACTGTCCCGTTCTTCGCCCAAGAGTTCGACTCGGCAGTTTGAAGAGCGCCTTCCCCACCAACTGCCTGCCTGGCCACCAACTGTAGGAAGGATGGTTCCCTCTCCAAAAAGGCACTTGACACCTGCGCGGAGATCGTTTTTGTGCGAAGGCACGTGAAATCCATCCGAATCCTTTCCGATTCCCGCTCCGCAACGGATCCGATTCCCCCGTGGCTCGGGATCGGGAACCCTGCGCGCCAGCGCGCTGGCTAAGCGAACGGAGTTACTTTCAAGGGCACATACGAAGCGGTAAAAACGGTGGTGTCCAATGAAATCGACCGAAACTTATCGATGATCTCGATGGACGAAAGAAAGATCCTTTTGGATTTCAACGCGAAATCGTTGGAGTTGGTGTGTTCTCGAAACTCAGAAACTCTGGACGCTTTTGTCGAATTGGTGGCATTGCTGACATAGTTGCTTTGCTGACATGTGATTCCTTTACTCTAAGGGTGACAAATGCAAAATAGAATGTTGTAATGTTCTATCCAAACTTATACAGAGAAGTTTGTCTTCTTCTTCTTCTTCACAGCTTTGTGGCGGACGCTTCAATCTGCCTAGCTGAGCACTCTGCCTGTACCCGATGGCCATTCTGCCTGCCGTCCTCCCTATTCAGAACAGAGGCACTGACTCAGTGCAGCTCGCATGGGGGTAGCCGAGTGTGAAGTAAACACAGCAAAGCAAAACAAAAACACCCAAAAGGCACCACACCACTGAACCGCGGGTACCCCCAAATGATCGGATGCAGGCACTCACACCTGCGATCGTCACATTGTTTCGCGCTACTTACTCTGGATTTCTTCCAAAAGTGTTTGTAACTCACGTTCCAAGCCACCTTTTGGGGCTTGCCCAAATTTCTCTTCGCCTTGCTGAGTTTTGAAGGCTTGGAAAAAACATCTGCTACCGGCCTCAGTTTCTCAGTAGTGGTCAAGTAAATCTTCACATGCTTGCCGCCATATGCAGGAGCCACACGACAGTAGAGGACATCTTGGAGCAATTTGTCCGGCGAATCAATCTCAGAGATATGTCTGTCCAAAACTGCACGTGCATCACCAGACATGTGCACTGCTGCCTCAGCTGCGATGGCTGCCCAGACATGGACATGGGGAGGGCCATACTCACGGTTCTTTCCAGCAGCCTGCACAAGCTCGTTGTACTTCTGGCTGGCCTCCTTGGCTTTCACCACAAAGCTGGCCGTCGAAGGGATCAAGCAAGTGCGGAACGTCGCAGACTGCAAGGCCCTCACGTCCGCAGCCAGTTTCAAGTTGTTCTTCAAGAGTAGCTGCATCACCTTCATGATCAGCTCTTCCTTGTCACCCCCAACCTGGCGTCGCTTCACTGCGGGCCCGGCGAGGGTACTTGAGTTGGCAGCCCAGCTTCCTCCATGTTTGCTGCCTCTTCAACTTCGGGCGCTGGCAGTTCCAAGCCTGGGGGCGGAATGTTGGCGCAGAGGAATCGGCGTCGAAGGATGGTGACGTCAATATACAAGAAATCAGCTGCAACTTCAGGAAGGAAAAGCCGCAACGGTTTGCCATCCACAGCTTGTGGGATGTGAGCTGTGTCAGGGATGTCCTGTAGCGCAGACAAGTCTTGTAGCAACTGCACCAGCCATGGATGCGCCCGTTCGGGAAGAGAACCGTCAGGCTGTAGCGGCGGCACCCGTTCGCATGGAAGATGGCCGAAGACAGCCGCAAGCACGTTGCAATGTAGAGCTTGTTGTTGGACCATTCTTTGCCAAAATTGCAAGCGGCGAATTTGCATTTCCACTTGGCTGGGAGCAAGACCCAAATATTTCCAGACAACCTCATTGGACACGGCTTGGTACTGCCATCTGCTTGTGTTTCCTTCCTGCAAGCCCAGCCACGCATGAGCTTGCGTCCTTTGCCAGTGATGAACGCGTCAATGGCGACATAGTCCGACTTGCAAAGAACATATGGCACAAGACCACACTAGGCTGTTTCGAAGACCAATGCTCTGAAAACAATGCTAATGGAACGTCTAGAGCAGCCTGGTCGTGTCCAGAAAGCACCCATGCTGACCCAAGCGGCTTGAGCTTTTTGAAGGCGATGTTTCCGTGCAGCTGTAGTTGAGCCATTGTGAACATAGATCTCTCCCAAGTATTTTGCTTTGGGCAAAACGCGCCCTTCCAGTCTGACTTGTCCACTGTAAGTGCTGCGCATGTGTTCCTGAGACACTGCACCAAAATGTACCACAACCTCTTGCTTGCTGCGGTTTTGAGCCAGGCCAGCACTGGCCAACCTCGCGTCCAATGCATCATCCAATGTAGTGGCTTTTGTTTGTAATTCGGACGAAGTCTGTGAAATGACTTTGATGGCAAGGTCATCGGCATAAGCAGAAATGGAAACGTCCACGACCTTGTTGTTGACAGGGTCCAGCACCTGCATGCCGCTACGTCTGTCATCACTGCCCAAATCACGTAGCCATCCGTCAACAAGGGGATGGTATTGTTCAAGGAACAGGTCGGAAGCAAAGCTGTCACCCTGTAGACCACCACTTCCAGGTTCAAGGAGGACTGTGCCATCTGCAGCGCGCAAAAAAATGCTAGCTGCACGGTGACGTTGCTGGAGTAGGGCGACGTCCTGTTGTTGCATAGTGTTCCTAATGGCACGGTCAAGCACATCATGGTTAGGACTGTAGAAGGCATTGGCGATGTCCTTGAAGAAGGTAGCGTGTCCAACCTTGGCCTTTGAAAGTCTGTGGCCCACGCACAATTGTTGCAGAATTGCCTCTTCACGACTCTTGTTCTTGGCATATCCTGCTGCATAGTCACGCAAAGACTGGGGCCTGCCTCGTCTCCACAAAGTTCGAAAAAAAATGTTTCCCCAGCGGATCAAGCACGTTGATGACCCGAAGGCCTTGACAGAGAGGTTTGCCATTCTTTTTGTCAATCTGAACGCCATTCGAGCAATGCCACTCAATGGGGGCAGAGGATGCACAGCGAATTTGCAAAAACAAACGTTGCACACAAGCAGAAAAATATGGCGTGGATATTTGCTCCTCTTCAAAACCAAGCCCGCTGCGACCAGGTCTGGCATGGTAGTTCGGGTAGAACAGCGTGCGCCAAACTTCATTTGGTACAGTCCAGGGTGGTGCACTGCGACGAGTTTTGCCGCGCCAAATTTCTCTAGCAACACGTGCAAAATCAGCATCAGCAAGGTCTTGCATTCGTGTTCGCCACTGCCAGTCCAGTACAGAGCGTGTCTGCCACTCACTTGTGCCAGGAGTGTGACGTGTAGCTTGAGCTTCGCAGCCACCTTGGGGCCCAGGTTGCAGCGTATAGTCACACCAGTCTTGGATAGAAGGTTGGCAGCTCCGAGGGCGGTCAAATCGGCGTTGTTTGGGACCCACTCGACGGCCTGAGAGTTGACGGGCTGACTGCCACAATTGCCTGAAGTTGCACATAGTCCAGCCTGCTTCAAATTGCGCCACTTGTCTGCACAGCATGTTGCGTTTGTCACGTGTGGTGAGGCGCTTGGCCACGCGCTGAGCTCTGTAGTAGCGTGCCAGTGCTCCCCAATGATGTAGCAGCTCTGCAACTTGTTGCAGTGACACGTCTGCAGAATTCCAGCTGCGCCTGCGAGGTCGTGCAAGGCGCTGGACTTGTAACTTGCACTCGTGCTGGTATTGCAGCGCTGCAGCTGTGTCTGCGGGTCTGTCAGTTTGGTGTGCGCGTTGTTTTTGAAAATGTGGTCTGGCTTCCTGTAACACAAGATCACGCAGCAAGTTCCAACTATCATCCGGAGCGGCGGCAGCCGCAGCTTGTTGCCACTCGAAACTGTGCAGCAGCTTGTCGCATTTGGCCTCGAGTTGTTTGACAAAACGTGTTCTGTTTTCCCCCCACAGCACTCCACGCATGAGCCTGTCAGTGTCCCAGTGTGGCGCATCATGGGTTGCAGGAGGGGCTGCCAACGCCAGAGTGTGGTCCACCACCACCTGTAAAGGGCGGTGATCTCTTTTGCCTGGAGCAGCCACCAGCTGCAAGTTGTCACCTGTTTTATGCCAAACACAACACCTTTGAACCCGTCCAAGCAAGCATGAAGGAAGACAGATATGATCGATCCTAGACGTATATCCTGCCACAATGCCAAAATATGTGGGACCAGCATTATGAAAAGTATTGACTGCAGACATGTAGTGTCGCTGTAAGAACTCATGAAACTTGTGCCCGTTCTCATTCTGTACTTCGGGGTTCCATGGCCCAATGCACGAACTGTCTGTAACAGCCAGCACGCCATTTCCAACTGGTTCTTGCCCCACTTTGGCGTTGATGTCGCCCAGTAAGCAGGGCACGCATCGTGAAGGCAGCTCGTTGACAACTGAATCCACCCATTTCCACAAGGCATCATTGACTTTGTGTGAGTATGGCAAGTTGGAACTAGGATGAAAATATGCCACAATGAAACAAAAATCTGCATCACCGCGCTTGACTCGAAGCGCCCCACCGCGACCTTACAAGGCGGCCGGCGGGCTGGAGATTTGAACGACATTTTGCTCTTTGAAAACTTTGTTTTTGAGGCACAGCTGTACTCCTGCATGGCTGTTGGTGAGCTTCCCATGGCCATAGCCCCAACTGAAGACAATGTGTGAGGCCACTCTCCGTTTGGAAACGGTAAGGTCAGTCTCAGGCAACCTAGTGCCAGCCAGAGCAATGACATCGTTGCTTGAAAGTGCATCTATGACTCTTCTTTCTCGGTCAGTGCGTTTCAAGGATTGCGGGTTGTATGAGGCAAATTTCCATCGGACCATTCTTCATCAATTTCCGGAGTCAAAACAACTGAGCATTGGGGGCCAGCACAGAAATGGCCCATTTGTCTGAAAAAGGCAAAGTGCGACAAAAACATTACCATAGCATTTCTCCGCGTGACTCTACTCTTTGTGCCATCGCGGCTAGAGAAGTTTGTCACATGATGTCACATGTAGAAAAGTTCTCTTTTGGTCGATGTTCTCAGTATTTCTGAGAATCCACTTATGTGGAGCAGTAACTGACCAGAATGACCAGAACGGCGCGCGTGTGGAGGACAAATATAGTAAAACATAAATCTTTGGTATCGACTCACCAACAAATTTACCACATTTACTTTTACCGTCCTTTGCCATCCTTTGTCCGGACTAACCTCTTAGCTTGATTACGCGGCGGACAGCCGGCTGAGAGCGGCGCTTACGCGCCAAGTTATTCATCAAGTTCACAAGTGGGTTTTTTCCGTGCCAAGTGGGGTCCTAAGAAAACCTTGAAGCTCTTGCAACAAACTAAACCCCTTGACAGCTGGCTAAAACCTGTAAAACAACCCCCTTTAAGCGACCCCACAAACCTCTATCATTCATATGTTCATCTATAGCTGTGCAGTATTTTCTCATCCTCCCCCCATGTTCCGCCTGTCCAATTTCGCCCAGTCCAAAGGCGCGATCCATGTGCCAACCACGCGATCATGTGCGCAGGACGGCGCTTCGTCTGACGTGCTGCGCTGCCTCCAAGCGTTGTGCCTCATGCCAGGCCTTCCCAGAAGACATTTGGCCTTCGCCTTGAAGCGGATCCGAACATCGATGTGTAGACGACCACTGAACGAGCGATTTGGACAGAGGACGACGATCTTGAATTGACTGATCAAATTCATATTGAAATCCGCTCCACATCTTGCTTTGCAATGCCGCAGTTCTCCATTCTGTGCCCACCACATCACCCTTCTCCAGTCACCCTTCTGCGCGCGGATTCGCTTCCAGTCCACTCGAAACATGAGACTCTGGCGGTTTCGCCATGCGAGGTACTCCTCCAACGATCCTCAGTCGTTTGGAGCAGCTCGGCGGCACCTCTTCGTCTGTCGACACGACAACAGTGACAGCGGGGTTCTTCCAAGAAGGAAACCCACCTTTTCCTGAGAGTTCTCTCCACTGGCGACTTTGGGGGTGAAGACAGTGAAGACTAAAAAATAAAAAACATTGCCAAAAGATGCCAAAAGGGTCGGAAGTGGCTGAAATCTTCAGGACATCCTAGCTGACATCCCCGCCACTGAAACTTTTCGTGTTTTCAACCGCTGCTGCCCAGGTCGCCAAAGCCCAGCTCGCGGAGACGCTGCGTCAAGGCCTGGAGATCGAACTCCGGAACTCGGACTGGAACGGATGGCGTCTGGCGTCGGTAGAAGGACCCAACCCAACCCCCAGGTCTTTCGTTGGGGAGGGAAGCGGTGAAACCCCACAGGGCCCTCAGGTCTCACTTGGTGGAGTTGTCGGGATGGAATTGCAACCAGACATCTGGTCCTCCCAATGCCCATCTCGCACCCCCTCTCTCGCACCCTGTCTCGTCCAAATGGAGTGCCTGGGCAGACAAATCCTGAACTGCACACGGCCTTTGTTTGGGCATGCAAGGAAACGAAACGAAACCGTGGTAGCTCACTGCAGTACTCTGGCAGTACTCATGAGTTGTGACCTGTTATTCTTGATTTGGAAGAGTGAGAGTATCTAGCCGAGTCTAGCCTCTATGCTTGATCAGCGTCCACTCCACTCCGTCTTTCAACAGTTCTTATATGTTCTTTTACTTCACACAGCAGAAAAAAATAAAAGAAGAACGCCTCCTTCCCTCACCCAGCATGCTCCCTACGTCCAAACACCCGGGACCGCACCTGCTCCGCCCGCCAGGACCGGGGCGTTGCGCCGCGCCACACGAAGTCGCGGCCCTCCACGGCCGTCGTCCGGAGCCGCCTCCGACGAACGAGTCGTCCGACCGGCCTGGGCGGGAGGTGGAAGAGTTCCTTCCGCTTTCGGACCGCGACGGAACGAGTTGTCCGACCGGCGCGCGCCACTGAACGATGCGGGGGGAGAAGGAGTTGAGCCGGGACGAAGGCGACAAGCCGAAGATCCAAGAACCATCGACACCGCTGGGGGCGGTCAGATCGGGTCCGAAGGATGTCCAGTCGAGTCTGCCGATGTCCTTTCCCCACCTTCGGAGCTGCCTTTCGGCATGGAGTGGCAAAGGCCCTACCTGCGACGCGTGATCACGGTATAGGTCGACCATCGGGCGAGGTCGACCTGTATCTGTCCAGCATCGGCATCTCTCCGACTTGTGACAGAGCTCGAATCGTGTTTCTTTTTTTCCGAGCACTGCGGCCAAAACCCTGAAACCAAGCAGCCAAAACATGCCAAAACTCTATGATTGTATGATATTGTATGATGAAAAGTAAGTAAGTAAGTAAGTAAGTAAGTAAGTAGGTAGGTAAGTAAGTAAGTAAGTAAGTGTAAGTAAGTAAGTAAGTAAGTAAGTAGGTAAGTGAGTGAGTGAGGGAGTGAGTGAGTGAGTCAGTCAGTCAGTCAGTCAGTAAGAGAGAGAGAGAGTGTGTGTGTGTGTGTCAGTCTTTGAGTCTTCGTTTAAAAAAAAACTCTCTGCCAACTCTCTGCCAAGCACATTTCACCTCCCTGACGTCCGCCCAAACTCAGGCACCTCCACCACGCACTCCCGACGCTCCGTGGCCCGCACATGGCGCAGCGGCAAGATCTGCCCTTCGAAGCCTGGCCGGTCCGACCCTCCGATGTTGCTCGGTCGATTCGGTCGGTCGGTCACGGTTCGACGTTGGGCGGTGTCTTCTTCTGCCAGAGGACGGAAAAATCCCATCCGGACGTTCTTGAGAGTTGACGGAGTGAAGAGATCAATCTGGTGGTCAATTTCGAAAAGACAATGATAGAGACTGCCAAAGCAGACAGTCTCTACCTGATCTTATATACCTCTGCTTGGAGCGGTCTCCCCCCTGTGTTGACCAGGCAGATCGCACCTCCACCTGCACAACGTTGGCGCTTGGAGACCCAAACACAGAGCTGCGGAGGGCAAGGCAGGAAGACCGGCTCCTCGTCCTCGCCGACGCGTGCGCTCCGGAGCGCTCGGACGTTCGTGAAGGCCGGTGAGGAATCCCAAGACGCCGGACAGTTTGAGGAATCTCTGAAAAAGGTCCACACCCCAATTCACCTCCAAGATTTGGGTCAGGTCGATGCTGAGTTGGGTGCAGAACTTCGCGCTGATCATCATCTCCCATTCATAGCGTTCGTCCAGTTCGACTACAGGGGGGGTAGTTGCTGCAGTTGATACTTGTCATGTGTCTAAGACCATGGCAGAAATGGCCGGGCGGTCTTCGGAAAAGGGGCTTCCTTTCAGGGCCCATACCTTCCACTTTCATGGCCAGCTGGGAGTGTAGGTGAAACATCTGCCTGGTTGGAGCTATGCCATGCTATGCCTTACTGTTCATTGGCCCGGGATGGCCGTCCTGGGAGGAGTAGGGCAGCTTCACGTCCAAAGCCTTCAAGAGGTACGAGTCGTAGATTTGCATCGTCACTGTCCTTCAAAAGACTAGCGATCAAAAGGAGGCCGGGCCCCTGAAGTGAAGTGAAAAGCATTTGATAATAGAAATTATCGAGGTTCATATGGGTGTGTAATTTAATAGGGAGACACTCTAGCCCAATGCGTAGACAGGATGTTCTTTCTTCTAGGGACTCGAACTGGAAGGTCTCCCTATGTTCATACACACCCATATCGAGATAGATTCACTGTGTGGTTGGTCTTGGCTTGCCCGTGGTTCCCCCAAGAAACATCTTCTCTCTCCCTCTCTCTTTTTTGAACGCTCACTTCCAATGCACTTTCAGTGCAGCCGAAAACACGAGCGGCCAAAAGAAACTATGCAGGGGTCAAAGCGATGCAGGGCGAAGGTAGTGGTTCAAGCAAGGCCACAGAGTCATAATTGTCAAGCTTCATGTTCTCTAGCCACAGAGTCCGCCGCACAGCCAATCCCGAACGTCCATAGCTAAGCCGGGCTCGAAAACATTGCTTTGGATTTCAAAGGATTCCTAACAGCAATACAAGTTCAACGTTGCACAAAAGTAACTATATACCAGCAGTCACAAAGGGGTGGTGTTTAGTCCCTAACAGGCCCTAACCTCCATTAAGCACCCCTTTGTGACTGCTGGTAACAAGGTCATCTTCAGAAGCTTTGTCGGTCTGACCGCAACTCCGCACGCAACGCACACAACTCAGAAGTCGGACGGGTCACCAAATCATCACGAGGATACGAGGAAGCGTGTGTTCCAGTAAGAATGTGACAAGGCGCTGCATGCCGTGCATGCCGTGCAAATGTAGCATTTTTGCAAACACATATATGGAAGATCCAGGGTCGTCACCTATGTTTTCACAGGGCGATCAAGTTTGGGCTCCCTCCCTGCAGCATCCCTCCGTGCAGCATCCTCAGCTTCCTGCATTCCGTCATCCGTCAGCTTCCTCTTGTCTCCAATCAACCGAGGTCGATTTCGACCGACGCCCTGGTTTCCCGTTCTAGAAGACGCTTCCACAAAGAAAGGCAGAGACGACGACGCGGTCTCGACGACGCCGTCTCGACGACACCAGCGATGCGCCGCGGTCTCGACGTGACCTGTCCACTCTTCGGTCTCGACGGATCGGCGACGGCAAGACGAATGGGACGCTGCGACCTTTTTGCAACCCCATGTTTCTTTGTTAAGTGGATCTTCTTTTTGTATGGTTTTTTTATGTGTTTTTCAATTTCGTTCTGTCTCACATCACTCCTTACATCACCTGGATAGTGTGTAAAGAAGGCGAAGCGTGGCAGCGCAGAGCTCGAAGCTTTCCAAAGGTCGAAGGTGTCGCTCCGCTCCCGGTGCAGCAAAGTGACGGCCTCGAGCAGCCGAGTCCGTGGTTCATCCATCTATTTCTCTATCTCTCTATCTATATCCATATCTATATATACCTATATACCTATATCATATCCTATATCATATAATATGTCTATCTATCAAGCAAATCAATAAATCGAATCAAATAAATTTGATTTCATTCGATTATATTCTATCTAATCTAATCTAATCTAAGCTAAGCTAAGCTAATCTAATCTATCTATCTACTATATCTATACAGATAAGTGTGCTACCAGGGGCGAGAAAACAAAGCGGCTAAGCCAAAAGGGGATCAAATGGAAAAGTTGTTTGAAAGTCTACCTACATCCCAGAACAATGCAGGCATGTACTCTGAAGTGGCATATACGAGCGGCTAGCTTACAGGGAACTTGCATCCATGATCTCTGGTCATCTCTGGTCAAAAGATTTCTAAGGCTGGACTGCGCCGGTTCAAAACTCCAAAATAGTCTATTTATGTAGATCGCCTGATGCTCGCCCACGTGCATAGTGGCATAGTGATTCATTCAAACTAAAATCGGAGAAGGAGACGGAAAGGAACACAACAACCAAACGCAACCATTCTCCTCAACCACATCCAAGGCATTCCAAGTTCACCGAAATCGACGAATCAGTGCCCGCCTGCGTGTATTTCTGCAGCTCACGAGCCGTTTCATGGGCGGCGTTGCCAAATCCCCAAACCAGCACTGAGCGATTCCTCGAATGTTGAACGATCATGAATATCATAACAACACTACTAGTAAGAAGAAGCTACTAGTAACAACGGGCATCGCTACTAGGAGCAAGGACGCTACTAGGGGCTCCTTGCCTTACTATTAGGAGCATTCTTACAACTAGTGACAAGAAACTGATTCTCATCAGGTTCGTGGGACGGTGTTTTCCTTCAAGTTCCCAAGACATCAATCAATGAACAGTTTCACGGCGGTTTGAAGCGGCCATCCTGTGCATCTATCTACCAGGTTCAAGTGGAGAGTTTGGGACAAAGATCAAAGCATATCAAAGTATACCTGGACCTTCAAAGGGTGTCCAATGGAGGTCCCTTAGTGGTGTAGGGGCTTCCAGCCAGTGACCCCTTTGAAGGTGCTGGTATAGTCTGTGATCCTCAAAGTCCAAGCGGGTCAAGGGTCGCAAAACGACAGCGGCCATTCAGTGGAGGAAATGGCTTCAAAGCCGAATCCACGCCCCGCACCACGACCGAAATCGTAGCGTTCTTTGTGAAACGTGCCGTGGAAATCAACAAACTCTCTTGGCGAACACCCAAACCCTGTCTTGGCACCTGTTTGGTGTTCGGAGTTGTTCTTCCCTTTGTCTTGGCCCATGTGAGTGCTCGTTGGCCCATGTGAGTGCTCGTTCATCCTCGTTCATGGTCGCTTTTCGCTTCTCCTTCTTCTCCCGGCGTTTTGGTCATGGAAAGCATGGTGGAGGAGGGTGGAAGTCACCCACAGGTGGAGGCACCACAGGTGGAGGTTCTCCAGAGTCGTCGTGCTCAGATCATCCAGCCACCGCAGCTCTTCCACTTGGCCGCTAAGTGGCTCGTAGGCCGAGCCACTGGGCTCAAGCTCTTCATAGCCGGTCAGCAAATGGGAGCCGACCACATCCTGTGGGCTGACGGTGAGAAATAGAATGAAATATCACACGAGGGCCCCGGGTGGCATCCAAAAGAATTCGGAGTGTCTCTTGATGTTGCCTCAAAAAATTTACATGTTGGAACTTGTACTGCTCGGATCTTCGTCCGGTCCTTTGTTACTTGGAGTACATTCATGAAAGGCGGGACCTCCCAGCAGGTTTTTCAATCGTCTTTGCCATGAAGCGGCATGACTTGGATGAGTCTTCCCACACACGACCTGTCTGGGACTCCCATCAAAGTGGAGAAAACTGCTTCGGTGCTGTGGGGAGTCCGGCATATCTTCCAGTCATGTCGGCAAAACGTCGATTGCCGTCAGACGCGGTCTCAGACCGGTCGAACTCGCAGATCTTCGCTGCGCAGTCTGCGCCAACGAAACAAGAGGGGGTGCAGTTACATGGCAAAAGCATCTGACCCCAACAGCAGAGCAGCTCGATGTTTTGCACCTTACAGTCTGTCAGCGGGTTTAGACAATCGGGCGCAGTACGGCAGGAAAAGGTCAATGATGGGGTTATAACGTTCTGATGGGTTATGAAGCGTTATGATCCACTCCGAGGAACAGAAACCATCTGTTTGGTCATGAGTCGGATCTCATGGTCATCTCATCCGAAATCGGCCCAGGCCATGCACGTTGGCCCATGGACATGGCAGTGACCACCGAAACCCGGAAACCAGGCAGCTCGCAGTGGGCCCTAAGACAGCCCGGGTCGCGTGCCCGGGCGTGCCTCGAGCGTGAGCGTGCCACCGATGGAGTGCTTGCCATGTCCACCAAGCACATCACACAGCCGGGATAACCCACATGTACAATGTATACCTCGGAAACAACTCGTCTTAGCTTAAATCTCCACCGCTTCCCTATGTCACTCACCTTTGTTGCCATCAGCGACGCATTACCTCATCCTACCTCATCCTACCTCCCCTCAAACCCATTAAAAACCCAGCCTTTCCACCGGGCCCTTTCCACCCCGAGCCCCACCTGTGGCAAAGAGGGCGTGAGTCCCACAGCCAGCACCACCAGCCCACAGCGTTGCACGAGGCGTTGGGCGCGTTGTTCTCCCGAGGCGTTGGTGCTTTGGATCTCCTACGAATGCAAAGCGTCCGAAGCGAAGCGACGACTACAGGAAGCCTAACTGGAAAGCCTCGCTCTTCAGGCTCTTCAGAAGACATGGTCATGAGTGCTGAGACAAAGAAACAGAACTAGTGGCAGAACTTCGATTTGGAATGAAGAATCAGAAGTGAAGTAACAATAGACTCTATACATACAATGACGGCTTCAGATTTCAGCCAATAGCTTGTGATCCTTGACGATTGAAACACGATTCCTTGTCTTTCAAACTTCAAACATCCAGACCCCAAAAGACACCAACCGCCTAGTGCATGTCCCTGACAAACCAAATCCGAGGAACCCTTTCCCCACTCTCTCCAGATGGAAGTGCTCATCTTCGCGGCTGAGCCGCACAACCTCACAGAGAACTGGTCGGCACGGGTCCCCACGGACCACCGTCTCCATGTGGACCGAAGACTGCAGGGCATAGGGTTTAGGGCGTTCATGGTCGTGAGGTTCAGCTAAGCAAGGGAATGCTTCATGTGATCCGGAATGTTTGAGGGCCTGCCTGCCTCTTCGATCTCATCAACCATGGTTGGGCCATCCCAATTGTGAACATACAACAGTTGGACTACATTGGCTATATACCTGTACTGTTGTTCTTGTCAAAGGTTTTTTCACTGCCCCATTTGCTTCAAACCCACCAGCTCATTCTGTGCCTTCGTATTGAACCGGATGTGTCCTGACAAATGCACCGCATAGTCCCTGAGGTACCTCTGCCGGCCGAGGTGGCCATGCATCGCGGCGAAGGGCGATGGTCGGTCTTGATATCATGGCGTGAGATATTTCGATCAAGGACCCTTAGGAGTCGACTTCCATTGGCCGTGTTTTGATGCTCGAGGTTGTTTGTTCTTCGCTCTGGCTTGTTGACGCTTTCCACCAACGCTCCCGCCGCATGCGGCATCGGGCCCCGCATTCGGCCCAGGCCGGGACATCGAAACCCCGAGCCCATCGCCCCCGGTCATCTTCAACGTCTTCTTCGGGGTGAACGACGTTCGGAACCTGTATTTCCCTCGGACGTATTTTAGAACTCCACCTCCACCTCCACATATTATTGCATGTTATGTTCCTTGTGAGCCATCCCTTGAGCCAGTTTTAATTTGTTCCATGGAGTTGGGAATATGGATCCACCAACCCCCTTCATGACAACTTTTTCTCCATCTATGTTTCTTCATGACAATAACTCCACTTTGGTCATCTCTAACACGAAAAGAACAAACATGAAGGAAAGAAACTGCAACAATCTCTTCGCCCCGCCGACTCAACCAGCTCGACTCAATCCCAGAACGACGTCCATCCACGGCGCTGGACCAAGACATCTGCATGAGGATAGAGCTCCGTGGTCCGGGCCTCGCACGGCAATTCTGGTCTGAGAGCAACCCAAGAACTCGTTGGAGTTGGGATCCTGTATTTTTGGCCCAACACCAACCGGTCGATGGCGGGTTCTGCCACAGTCCCTGAGAGCAACCGGGCGAGTTCTGCCGGGGTTTTGTCCTCACATCGACTGGGTCCCCGAACAGTCATCGGGGCAATGCCCAAAGTGTCTGTCAGAAAGAACAGCATGGTCAATGTCAAGAAAAATGTGAGCGTGCGACGTTCAGATTCGGCTGTGGTCAAAACTCAATCAGTAACAATTTCTTAGTTTGCGTTTCCTTGAAGCAATCTCACCATCCTTGATTCCAATTGTCTCCATCCAATTGTTACCAAGTTCTTGGTTCCATCCTTATTGCGCTTCAATTTGCCTTTCAATTTGCCTCTCACCTCATTATACTTCAACTCGAGAAAAGCGCCCAAGTTTCCGCAAGAAGTCGAAGAAAAGACGGATGCCCAGCACCCCATGCCATGCCTGCACCCAGCAGCGAGTTCCAATCGTGGCGCATGCGAAAGTCCATGCCACCCCGAGCGACGTTCCGCTTGTTGAGGCCTAGCAGGCAGGTGTGAGACGACTTGAGAAGACCGAGCCGAACGCAGGTGTCCTCTGAATGCAGCGGACTACACCGGGGGTGGAAAAAAAAATAAACATAGGGCCGGGCAGTTGTCTTTGACCGGCATGTGCACACGCAAGCGTTTGAAAGAATATGTGTGCAAATAATCTTGAATATATTGCTCGCATGGAATTGCAACATAAATCCTCTGACTTTGAGTCTGTCCCCAAACCACCTTGAGGCTGACAATCCAACGTTGGACCCGCAAAGCATTTCGACTACTTGTTTGGCATCTTTTCATCGACCAACTGTGTCATGGTGACACTTCGGAGGCGTTGAACACTGAAAAAGATCCAGCAACTTGCGCCAGTTGGCGCCCAGGTTCTCCCCGACCGAAACCTTCCGGTGGGTTCGACTCCGCAGTGCAACTGCTGCAGTTTCTTCCCCCGGTTGAGTGGCTTATGAGCATTCGATGGATGGGAAAGCGTCGGAAGAAGCTGCCGGCGGAGCTGCTCTTCTCGAAGATCACCTGGCAAAAACGAAACTCTGCTTGCGCACCACCACAAAAGCCATGTTTTTCGGCCATTGAACCCATGTCAACCAACCCCTTGAGAACAACGTTGGAACAACAGCACCCGGGAACAACAGCTGACCTGCAAGCTGCGTGTCCCTGCAGGTTGATGTTGCACTTGATTCTGTTTGCAAAGGTTGTGCTATCCATGTGGGGGCCATACGGCATGTTTCGGATGCTTTGTCTTGATACAATACAAAACTGATGTCGGTGATTGTCCTCTTCTTTCGGATGTCATGTGGGGCAAAGCCCCATTCACCCCCCCCCTTTCGGCATCCACGAGACTTCCGTTCGTCCCGTGGGCTTGTCGTTCGGACACGCCCGACCACACCGGAGACGCCCGAGTCTCACCGACACGGGGTGTTCAGTTGAATAAAAACCAATGGCAACTGAACATCACATCATTCTCAGTGACTTACCTCTTTTCAGTAAAACTGAACCGAGAGACCAGACCGAGACGGAAAGATGCGCATCCAAGCCACCGGTCGCCCGGGAATAAACCATTCACATCTCTGGAAATCGATGGATAGATGTCTCCAGTATTCATATCATTCTTCGTTTCGCGCTCCCTTGGAAAGGATCATTGTTGAGTGATCTCCAAATAGATAGTGGCACGGTTTCCAATACATTTTTGGTGGGGATCTACTTTTCTTCCATTTGGGGACCACTATATACCAGTATTATCAGGTTGCACCCTTTTTGTCTAGAGAAACAAGCCGTCTCTCGTCCACTTGCAGGCAAGTCTGCCATGCTTCGTGGTTTGTCACAACCTCTTCAGTGAAAAACGGGCAGGCTCAGGCAGTCCACCGAAGTTTGGCATGAAGACGAAAAAAAACAAACAAACAAACAGGAGCTTGGAAATGGGGTGGAAACGGTCGTGGGGGAATCAGCTGGTAAAGCTGCACCATCCAAACACCCCCAAAAATCACCCCTGCCGTCACCGCTGCCAAGGCACAAAGTCTCGAAGGATTTCGGATGTGTCCTGGATGGCGCCAGAGATGGCCATGGCTCGATCGCGTAGAAGTTTGACTACAAGAGACTGGGACATCGTCTTTCAAATTGAAGCTCTTCCAGGTGCTTCATCACCTTTTTTTGGTGGCCTTCACTACCTTAACAGTCATAAGACTGTAACTCAGTGTGTATGGGCCCCCAGATTCCCCTAACCACTAAGGACCCCGGTCTTGTCGCAAAGGCTGCGAAACCTTTGGCTCAAAGGGGCCCATCTTCGTCGAACCCGGCGAGGTGTCTGCCAGTGACGCATCCGACAACGCGTCGTTTCGGAGGCTCGATGGCACTGGCACTGGCACCGATGTCTCGAAAAGAGGCAGGTCCACTAAACCACTGAACTTGGGCCCTTGTGCCATCGAACCTCTGAAACCACTCTATATACAGTATATATATATGCAATATATATATATATATTAATTATATAATCATATATATATATATCCCCTGGAAGTCAAAGGCCATTAAAAGAATGGTTGACCTGGTGGTGTAGTGTAAAATCCTTAGTAAGACAATGGTTATTTGGGATTCTTTGGGATGGCCCGGCCATTAAACCAATGGTTGGCCACGAATCCTAGCGTAATCCTGTGTGTCCTTGACATCCCCAGACCTAGCAAGTGAGGTGTTTTTCTCCTCCGCAGATACCCGCCACGTACGACCCCCTCTTCAACCAACATCTTCACACTTCGTCGGCATCTCGCCGGCGTCGACCGTCACGGATTCTCCACCCGTCGAGGACTCGGCAGAAATTGATGTCGTGAGGTGAGGGCCGTTTCAGGTCGGCTGTTTCTGTGTCTAGACTCGACGGAAAAGACCGTGCGTCTGGCCACTTCCGTTCGCGAATCCAATTCGTCGTCCTGTTGCACACAGCCAGGTACGACACCGAGCCATGTGGCACCTGACCTGGTCCTCCTCCAGTGCCACGTCCTCCAAAGTGCGACGCGTCGAGCGAGCTGGCGCCGGTCTGTCCTGGGACAAGAAGTGGCCAAGCCTGGAGTGCATGAAGAGTCGAACACGAACACGACCAGCCTGATGTACGACCAGTGTCCCCTGGTCAAGAAAACCAGATGGATGATGGATCTGAAGCCCCCACTAAACTTGCGTAAAAGGATCTCATCCAATGGATCCAGATTGGAAGAGCTCAGGACTGCTTCTTCTTGGGGGTTTCTGCAGAGTTGAGGCTCTGCGACCAGCCTGCCATCTGGTGTCCTAGCGGGCATCTTCGGCCAACCGTGTCGAATGCCTCTTGCACGGTCTTGTTCCGGAATCCGTGCCCGCCACACAGAAAGATGAAGGAAGTAACCTCACAGTTGCTCCAATCGACTGCTTGCTGGATTCTTCTGACAACCCCCCGACATCTCACCCACTCGCCACAGTGCCATGCGGTCTCCACCTGCGAAGGGTGGCTTACGCGTCCCGGCCACCGCGGCCACCGCGTGAACCGGCCGGAACCGCCGGAACCACCATCGCTTTGCGGCTGGGTCACTGCAGCCCCGCCGGCCCAGCGCCAACAATACACAGCTGCCTGCGGCCAACGTCGACACCCCTCACATTGTCGGAGCTTCCCGTGTCGAGAAAACGGACGGCAAAGAAGTGTTCCTTTTTGTGACCTGCAAGTGCTTCTTCAGGAGTTGGGCAAAATGGCGTGGTGAATTGATACATGTATATAGTTAATGTGTGTGTATAATGCATACAATATACACACATAGTTTTGCTGCGCGAAGGAATCCTGTCACATTTCAAGAATCTATAATGGAACCTTCAATATCTTTAGAGTTTTAACCTGAAGGAAAGGGGTCCATTGATGCATGCTAGTTTCCGGAATTATGCACTGTAGTTTTGGACAAAAGGCTGCACTCAAACAGCCGCACATTTCTGCAGGTGCTTCTGAAACACGTAGTCACCATCCTGAAATCCCGAAGAAAAGTAACCCAACGCTTTTGGCCCACCATCGTGTAGCCTAATATTGTCAAACGCCATCGTCATGTAGCCACTGCTTTGCTGTATCTCCCTAGTCGAGATTTCAGGTTGAATTGGGTACTGTCCAAGCTGTACTAGACCAGCCAATATTAGGGTAAGGTCGCTGAAGGTTCATCAGGGCACCTGCTTTTGGGACCCAGAACAACGGTGGGCGCTTGCAGTCGATCTGCCACTTTCTCCAAAGCGTCCCAGCAAGATCTGAGGCTCACCTTCGGAGCTCTTCCAAATGCTCCAATCTGGGGTATATCCCATTCCTAGAAACAGTGGAGGAGGAGGACGACAAAGAGGAGGAGGAGGAGGACGATGACGATGACGATGACGATGACGATGACGATGACGATGATGAGGAGGAGGATGAGGAGGAGGAGGAGAAGGAGGAGGATTGGTAGTAGCAAAGGCCTTTCTCAAAAATAGTGATTTAAAAAAACTATCGATCTTCCCCCCATCCAAGGGCCACCTCCTCCCCGACCAGCTGCCTCGCCTGAAGGGCTCCCAGGCTGCCATGGCAAACCACTCGGGGCGCGAGGTGCCATAGAAGATTTGGGAATGCCCTCAAGCATGGCTCGAGGCTTCACAATGAAAAGTTGTCTCAAATGTCAATCAAATCTGTCCTGTTCCTGATCAAATGACGTGTGTATGCTCAACGTATACATTTGCAGCTCCATGCAAGTGTCCCAAGCCAGGACTGACACCATCAACGGCCAAAGCGAGATGCTCTCTACAAATATGCAACAATCCGTTCTAAAGACCCACATGGAATATGCAACAATCCGTTTTTGATATGATCAGCGAGATGAAAACATGCCGAGCTGAACAGCGTCACAGATCCGTGCATCCCGATCCTCCCCTGCCCAGCTGCATGCGCCTCCCTTTTTTCCAACACAAACATGTGGCGTTTTCCCCCAAAGCTGTTGAAAAAGGCAAACAAAAAACAGCCCTGGCCATGTAGAAACCCCTCAACTTCCTGACCTGAAAGCTGGCACGGCGCTCCAGACACAGAAAAAAAACGCCATCGGGACCATGGTTCCCCTCCCCAAACCCCTCTTGCTTCACCACCCTGTCTGGTCTCGCGCTCGCTGGGGCCAGACACGGCCAACTCTTTGGGGCCCAAGTACGGCAGGTGGTCGGCCACCTGGGCGGGTCGGCCAAGCCGGAAAGAACGACGGTTTTGGTCGGTTCGGGAACCTCCGGGGGCGGAGTCATGTTCTTTGCCGGGTGAATCAAGGGACGTATGTCTTCTCACCTGGCTACAGCTGGAATCCGCAGCCCGCAGCTGCTCTTTGGATCAAACAAGGGTCTAAAACAACTTCCCGCTCCTCTATCACAAATCCTTGTAACGCATAGTTATCAGTCATCCAGCAGATTGTAGGATGACCTAGAGTTAGGGTAGTTTCATGGAGTTTCAATCAGTGCACCAAAGCGCTCAAAGACCTTGGTTTTCTTCTTCAAACTTCTTGAAACGATAGCCGATAGTCTGACCGACACGCAGTGGGCTACATGGTTTCTTCGTCACGAGAGCAACCAGTTCGTTGTTTCAAGGCATGTAGACAACACACAGAGAAGCCAGGAAGTATCTTGGTGATTTGAGTTGGTTCACGAATCTGAAAATGGGACCCACTGCGTGAAGCTCCAGCTAATTCTGTTTGGCATCGCCATTCCCACTGATAAATCAACAAAATGTATGGAGTTTGACTCAAGCCCTTTAAGCTCTCATGTTTTGTTACAAACATCGTTTGGCTGCCTATTCCCTGTGAAACTGGGACGTCAGACGCGGCATCGTCGGAGTGTTGAGGAAAGAAGCTTGCCCTACATGCTCTACATGTCCACAAAATGAACTCTGATGGAGTTTGTAACAAAATCAATTTGTTATAACAAAAAGTAGAGAGCACTGTCTGTGCCAACATGCACCGAGCAATGAACAAGTGCCCAGTGATGCAAAACCTCGTAATTCAAAATTCATAACAGTATCATTTCCGCATTCAATTCTCTACCACCAGATTTTTCTCTTCCAAAACCAAACTGCCTCAAGATGTGCCTTAGTAAGGTGTATTGAGATATGTCTGTTTGAGAACATGAATTTGAGAACACCTGTTGTTACCCTCCTCAAAGGCTGGAGTCCAGCTCTTGTGGCGGTTCTCATTACGACGACCACCGCTGCGAAGCATGGCGCGACTGCACGGACCATTGCAGCCAGCGCGTAAACACAATATTGGTCAGCAAGGGCGCCCCACCTGAGTTTGTATGGGAGCTCAAGCAAGTGTGACCATGTTGGCAACACATATACTACATATGTCGAGCATTTGTCTATCATATATGCAAAAAAAGAGGTAGATAGATAGATAGATAGACAGCTAGATAGTTAGATAGATAGATAGATAGATACATAGATAGATAGATACATAGATAGATAGGTAAATAGATAGACAGATAGATAGATAGGTAGATAGATAGGTAGCTAGATAAACAGACCGATCGATCGATCGATCGATAGATCGATCGATAGATAGATAGATTGAAAGATAGATAGGTAGATAGATAGATAGATGGATAGATAGATAGATTGATAGGTTGATTGATTGATTGATTGATTGAAAGATAGATAGATAGATAGATTAGATACTTTTGCAGTTTGCCTCATTCTCCGTCGAGCGCGGAAAACACGTGGGCCACAAGAGCAAGAGCTCCCGGCTTCATCTGAAGCTTGCAGCGTGGCGCGCTTTTTGTGCTAGCATTTTGCGTGTCAACAGCTGCTATAGCGGAAGAAAAGTTGAGAAATTTGAAGCAAGTTCAAGGCTGATCAAGCTGGCCAGATCAAATGGTTTCAGCTGAGAGCAGGCACTGATGCGCACAATGCACAGCATGCGCTGAACTAAGATCTGCGCAGGTCGTTTCAGACCAGTTGCGCGCCAATGAAGATCTGTGCAATCATGGAAAGGGATTGGCGCTGAGTATCAGCTCAACAAAAGTTCAAGCACAAGCATTGTGCCCGATCAAACTAGTCACTCAGACACATCAGCTGCAGCAGCACTTCGGAGTACAGCTGGGCTCCGAGCTCATAGTTTGCACAGCAGCGCTGGCGCTAGCAAAGCAACAGGTGGCCGCATCATTGCTCAAGTCGGTTCAGAACACTGTCCGGGCGTGCCCAGAGGGAGCTGGGATACGGTGCGTCGAGGTGTCAAATCCCGTTTGCGGCGCTCAAGTCCCAAGGCACAGGTTCAATGCCACGTGGCGTTTGCGCAGAATTTGTGGGGCGATGACGCAAATCAATCCTGGGGCCCACAAGCGTGGTGACATCTCTAAACTCTTGCTGGTTCAAGTCACGTGGAGTACTCGGGGCGTCGGCAGTGTGAGGAGGATATTCTTCAAGTTTCCACACATGCCTGAACTCCAACTCAGCCTCGACCACGTACATGTCCGCGCCCGTGCGCCAACCTCCCGGGCTCCTGCGATGTGTCCAGTTTTCATGGGAGAGCCACGCACACATCCAAACCATCCAGTGATCTGCGCCCTAATGGGTGATGCCACAAATCACCTTGCTTGGATCCAAGCAGGCGGATGGTGAGCCCCACCCTCTCTTGGATCTCATGGCAACGAAGCGGTCGAGATGCAGTGGAGAAAGCAGTACACATGCCCAGGTACAGGTTCCACAAATTCAACTTTCCTGCAATAATCCGGACCTTGTTTTCTGAAGCGGTCAAGGTGGGTGGCGTGAACTCAGAGCCCTCATCCGCAACTACGTCATTCTCCCCTCGAAGTAGGTGCGAAGCCAGTGGGAATTGAGGCAAGGAGGTTTGACTCTTCCCAGGAACCGCTGCAGAAAAAAATTACGGGCGTCCCAAGTATCACATTTGGGAGCTGACCCAAATTGGTCCAGGCCTTCAACTGCGAACGACATGCCCAGCTCACGCCAAAGCGCCGCCTGCATTCAGGGGCCGTGAGCGGGAAGAGGACGCCTCGCTCAACCTGTTGGCCAGCTGACTTTCCTTCGTCTGATGGGGCCGAATTCTGCCCTGGATCATCATCCGCACTGAGTTGTGGGTCAAGGTCAGCAGGAGTGCTCACAGTTCGAGTTCTTGGCGGCTGAGAGATTTGAATCTCAACACCTGCTTCAAACTCCTAATTCCACCAGCTCTTCCAGGAACTTCAACATTTGGGTCTGTAGGCTTGAGTTGATCAGGCCTCCTGCCAGATCTCGCTTGTGGGTGCGCTGAAGAAAAGAATTTTCAAGGTGATAGTGCCACTTCTCGGCCGCCTTCTTCCAGTCCTTTGTCTTCTGGAGCAGCGTGGGGAGCAGGCCCGCCGGGCAATTTGCGAAACGGGAGCAATGGCCTGAAGCTGCCCCGACTCCCAACTGAACCAGCAGCATGTCTTTGTCCAGTTCCATTTTAGGCATAGCGCTCAAGGCAGCAGGCGACGTTGACCGAGACAGGGCACTGATCTACAAGTCCCTCTGCGTTGATGGTATGAAAAAGCTTGCGATCTAACGGAGCTATGCAAGTATGCTTGCTTTCAGTAACCCATCACATGTTCAGAGCCCATTTTGCCAAATCGAGAGGAATGTGCTACGGTGCCTTTGAATGTGGATGCTGAAGTCACAGTCTAGTGCGCAAGCCAGCTGCACGCAAGCAGCACGATGCACTGCATCGATCGTGGCCGGGGAGTAGCCTTCGGACACTAGAAGGCTGGTCAGTGACCGGGTTTTCAAGGGGCCATCCAAAACACTGGCAGGGGCGCTTGCTCCTTAACCCAATCGGCGACCAGCACAGAGTTCTCCACTTCGGCTAAAGGCTCTTTGGCCAATTCCCTCATGCGTTTTCGGTAAAACTTCAGTGTTGGCAGGGTTGACGCTGCAAGCAACAAGCAACAAGTCGCCACCGCGGGCATGGACACGCGCGGCCACCTCACACAACAATTTGCTACCAATCCCAACATGGCCTTTTGCAGCCAAACGGTGCAACTCAAGGACGGTGGGCGCGAGTGGTCGGCTGGCAGCACGGCACAAAATGTTGTGTCCCCGGGCTGAGGCTGCACTGGCTCGCCACTGAGCAATGCGCCAGGAGTTGACAAGCGCGCAGCTTCCAAATCAAAGTCTTGGGTCAGCGCAACGCCCCCGTCATCCAAACGGAAACTAGCAGGAACTTGTTTGGGATCCGGATGTAGGTCGCGAGGACATCCGGTTGTGGAAGGGCTCCCACAGTGATTTGCAATCTACCAGATTCTTGAGCTGCATGCCTCCTCATCACTTGCTGCTGGTGGTGGCATGGGTATGCGCAAAGAAGACGCAAACTCGGCAACTCAAAGACGCCACAAGAAGCTCCCACGGCAGTCCCGCAGCAACCAACACCTCAGCTTCCTGTTCATCCAAAAATTGGCCTTTTGGCCAGCCTCTTTGAGTATTGCCAAGAAACCCAGCACTCGCCATCAGCCAAGAAGAAATCAGAAGTAGCAAGTTCTTGAGCCAAAATCGCCACCGATGGATGGATGGATGGATAGATAGATAGACATGGCTCGGAGTCTGACTCCATCAGCCACGCAATCCTTCATACTTCTTAAATGCACTGCCATGCATATCTTCATGACCCTACCACATCTGAAGAATATGCAGTTATTGTTTATCCTACAAATTGTTTTGGAAGATGTGATATCATTAACTTTCAATCTCCAGTATACATTGACACCATCTGGAAACATAAGTGTCAGATTTCAAAGGCATCTGTGAGTATTGTTTGTAATGCTTACCCAAATAAAACATCAATATACAACTGTTCAGCCCTTCAAAACACATCATTTGCAGTCCAGAAACCTTTGTTGTGAGTTCTCGAAAAAAAAACATGTGTTGGCTTCCATATTGGCATGCAACACACAACAAAGCTGATGAAGTAGATATATATATATATACAGTATGTTTTCAAGTGCCAAAACACAGTTTTCCACCATCCAAAACAGATGTGATTGATCAGCAAAATGTTACATCCAAAAAAACTACAATGCATAGCAATAGTAAATTGCATTGGCAGCTACCATCTACTACCATGCTCGCTCTGTGCGCCACATGATGGGGCGCAAGAACAGTCGAGTCTGTTCCCCAGAACGTGGCTGGACACCACAACGCCGCCATGCGGCGATCAGGCG